GGTATGTTTACTCTCTATCAGAAATGCCAATTTATTCATTCAAATAAAGTAAATTCGCCACCAATTCGCCAATTTCCTTCATTTTCTATTTTGGTCGCGTGACATGTTACGAGAACAGAATTTTAAGGCACAAGAAGACCTCAAGATTTACTTTGGGGGAAAAATTCATTTCGTTCCAGGTATCCAAGCGAGAGATATTGCCAATCAATCGAACACATCTCTGACGCAGACCTTGAACCCTTAAGTTTTTCCTTTCCCTCTCCTTCGTTAGTGTGATATTCGGCCTTATCGGACGATTTTAGGTATATATTGCTGGGTTCGTTTTCAAAAATTCCGCTAGATATGTAAAAAGCTGTAAAAGAGGAATAGCTAAATATGTTTAGAAGGTAAGTCCAGATACCCCGATTCCGGAGAGGAAACACAGTGACATATTTAATGGACATGCCACTCGACCAGAGCGACAAAAGTCCCCCCGCCCCCCACCTTTGACCCCACCAAAAGGAACTTTTAGAAAGAGTACATTATAAAAAAAATACCGTGTAAAATTTTAAACCCACTTTACCTTTTATTTGAACGCTAGCTGTGACATCCGGTTCAGTTCGTCTCAGGGGTGGCACCCTATCGGCTGGAAGAGTTGAAGTGTTCTATGATGGTCAGTGGGGGACAGTTTGCGATGATGTTTGGGACATAAATGACGCTAACGTGGTCTGCAGACAGCTGGGTTTCTCGCAGTTAGCCACTCACGCTTGGAGCGGCGCCTATTATGGTCAGGGCTCTGGTCCCATATGGATAGATGACGTGGCCTGCTCAGGTAGCGAATCACATATCTACGATTGCAGACACCGTGGATGGGGAAACAATGACTGTACACACAGGAGAGATGCCAGTGTGCAGTGTTCTACTGCTTATGGTTCTGCTAACATTCGTTTGGTGAATGGCGGTGTTAATTATGGCCGAGTTGAAGTTTATCACAACGGCCAATGGGGCACAGTCTGTGATGATTTCTGGGATATCAATGACGCTGATGTGGTTTGCCGTCAGCTTGGTTTCCCCAGTGCGTACTCGGCACCATGCTGCGCGGGATATGGCCAAGGATCTGACCCTATCTGGATGGATGACGTCCGGTGCAGTGGAACAGAGGCTTCATTGTTTGACTGTACACGTAATGGCTGGGGAACACACAACTGTGTCCATCGTGAGGATGCAAGCGTGGTCTGTAACACTCATTAACGAACTGTTCGCGCATTGGGCCATGCTTAATTTGGATTCATAGAAATTCAAATGTGTATCATGCTTATTATAGTAACACTGATTCTAAAAAGTCTAAAAAGCGCTTACGTGTGACAATAATTAACTTAGATGAATTATAACAAACGAAGTTGAATTTCTAAAAATATAGCTGTAAGTAAAATTCCCAGTCTTACTGGACTACTTTGTTAAGCCTTAAAGGAGCCATGTCACGAGGATTTTGCTCTTTTTATTTCAGTTTTGTGCCGTAAAAATCATTACTTAGTGCCTTCACACGTGAAAAGTGATAAACTGTAGAATTGTGAAGAATATATTAAACAAATTTTGTCAAGGAGTACAGATGAACCATAGTAACTTTTACATGTAATGGTAATTTTTGCAGGCATTACATTAAAAGTTGAAAAAATTGGACCTCAATGCATGTCCATCCTTCTATAAACTAATTAACATCCTTAGCACCGCAGGCAGCGGAGGTCTATGTTTTCAAGCCGAGAGTTAAACGTTGAGATATATGCGTTAGCTTGCGTTATCATATGGCTGAGATCCAAATGTCGAGAAAATTGCTCATATGCAAAAACCATAACACCAAAGGTTTACCAAATCGTTTGTAAAAAAAAAAAATTGAAGAACTGTTCGAGAACAATAGTTATATTTCTAGTATATAATCATCTCTGTTGGTATCTGCAAGTGATGAGCCTTGTAAGGACGAAAATCGAGGTAAAACTTCCCTCCTATGAGGTTTGAATTTCGGCGCGACCAAAGAAAGGAGTAATTTCATCTCAGGGGGAGGGTAAGGGTTGAGAAACATATAAAAGACGAGATGCGAAATATGATCAGAGATAAATGGAATATCACTACACAGCCCTACATAGCTGTACATAAGTGGTAGTAAGGCCCGGTTGTTCAAAGTTTGTAAACCTACTCGCCATTATACTGAGGATAATAAGGGACTTACATAGCAGAATTCTTTATTGAAACGGCTGAATCCTGCGTAGTCGGCGGGTTTTTTTCCGCGTTTTTTGTTCGTGTTTTGTCACGAAAGAGGCTGAGCGAGAACAAGATGGAGGAGTAGGCGAGAGAGCGCCTGCATTCAACCTTGCCTAGTCCCTAGGCCTCATTTTCCCTTGCGGTCAAAGCGTTTCGGGTCACGTGGTCCATGCGAAAATGTGTGTTTCCCGCCCATTCGCCTCGGATACGTCACCGAAACGAATTGACCGAGAGGGACTGGGAAAACGCCGTACAGGCACCAGGCAACATTCAACCCAGGATTCAACCCCCATAGGCGATTATCTCCTCCTCCGGTCTCCTACTAAGACTGTTCTGTAAGCTTATAACGCAACGATCCTCTGATTCACTGTTAAGAAATAAATAAAGAAAGAAAGAATTGATAAATTCGAAGATGAAATAAATGTACCCTGGCTACAGAGGTCCGTTGTCAAAATACCTGATATGAAGTAAACTGTGCTTACGGTTTGATAAGGCTTCCGAGACTTTTTTTCTCTCGGCTCTTTGCGCCTCGTTAACGCGGCTTCGCCGCGAACCATCAGTATCGATAAGAAAAAAAAATCATCTGGAACCCAGTGTAAAATAAATGCGGAACAAATCCAAAAATTGCTTATCAGGAGCTCGGCTCCTGTTCCCGGGGGGGAGGGGTACTCCATTATATAAGCCATTTGGGTATGTGCCGTCGGGTATGCACTTTGCCCATCAGTTGGTCTGGAATCGGGTATGGTTTTCGAGGGAACTACGGGATCCCGGGGGGTACTCGACCAATATTTGGGTATGGGTCAGAGCCGCTGAGGGTTTGAAACCCTGACCCTGTTTAGGACAAAAACTCCCTAAAATACATACCCTGTTTAGGAAGATATCCTCAATTTTAGTAGCCTGTTTAGCACAACTTCCTCAATTTTATTACCAGGACTGAGACTCGCACAAATCATGCATGCACACTGTTTAGGACAGACTCGTGGGAAAATATGTACCCTCAGTGTCCAGCTGCACATCTCCGTATAGGCCATATAAGGGAGAACCCTCCCCCCGGGGCTACGGGAGTGTATGAGCGTACTTATCGTTTCTATTCCAAATAAATAAGAAAGAAAGAGTAATATGCGAATTCGACTGCTTTTGAAGAATTTTTTTGTTTGCGCTCTAATCTATAGATGGATAGCGCTTTCCATCGGATGAATCACTATCCATCACATTAGTATTAGAAAAATCAATTGCGCTATCCAGTGGATAGTGATTTATCCGATGTTTAAGTTTAACCCTGGAGTTAAGCCATAGTTTAAGCAAGGTTTTCTTGTCTAAGAACACGCAACTTGAGCTTACAAAATACTGTTTGGCCCTACTCCAAGATACAGTGACGACACATAATGACCCATAATGTTTCCCTAAGCAATACATAGGAAGTTAAAATACCAAAAAGGAACAAACTTTTAATCCTGGATTAGTACTAATCGGCCTTTTAGGAGCTGGACCCCGGTGGATAGCGCTATCCCCCTCCCCCCACCTTTTGAACAACTGGAGCCAGCTGAAAACGGGTATGGATTTCAGAGGTCAGGGACTCAGGGCCCAGTTGTTCGAAAGGCGGTTAACGCTTTCCACTGGATAAATCTATATCCATTGGATAGGGCAATTCACCTTCTGGGCCCAGTTGTTCGAATGCCGGTTAGCGCTAACCCTGGGGTTAAATTTTAACCCGGTTTATCTTTTTACCAAAAGCACTCTCTCGGATAATTTTCTCTATTTTTTTTAGAGTAACCAGTCATCAAATTGAAGGCAAAGAGAATTAAACTGAATTTGCTTTTTAAGCTCTCATATATGAGTTCAAATTTCGCGCTAACCTTGCCTGGCACCTTGCCAACACCTTGCCTAGTCCCTGTACGGCGTTTTCCCAGTCCCTCTCGGTCAATTCGTTTCGGTGACGTATCCGAGGCGAACGGACCACGTGACCCAAAACACTTTGGCCGTAAGGAAAAATGAAGCCTAGGGACCAGGTAAGCGCTAACCCTGGGTTATCTTACCCTAGCTTCGAACAACCCTGCCCTGAGCGTCAGATTTCACGTGTTCTTTCACGTGACTTTTGATGACCTTTGTTGTAAACAAACCGCTAAAGTCTGGACATCCGTTCCCTAATATTTATCCGCTGGATAGTATTAAATGTCAGTACGTAATTTATCCGCTGGATAGCGTTTGAACAACCTGAGCCTGGTCTGAAAGCGGGTGTGGAAAATGACATTTTTTGGTCTGAAATGGGGTCAGGATTTGGAGAACCGGGCGGCACACCCTTACTAAGAATTCACAGGAGCATCCGTTCCCCACCCCCTAATGGCCCCTATCCCCGCCCTTAAGCTTCACGAAGGTGTTCCCCCAAGCTCCTGCACAGAGAGCCCGAACGCTGTGTTAGCTAATAGAAAAAAATAGATGTATTTACGCTCAACCAAAGGGAAAAGCTAGGGGACGAGGATGATTTACGCTGTATTAGCTAATAAAATAACAAGATGCATTTTCCTTTGTCCCTGTGTCTTTATAAGTCGTTTTGGAAGGGATTTGAATCCGATCAGAGACGGTTAACATATACCTGCCAAGTGTCACGCCTAGAGCGTGATTGTCATCAATTTTTTTCTATTGGCTAATACAGCGTTCGGGCTCACTGTGGCTCCTGTTTTTAAAAAAACCCGCGACATGTAATGAGAAGGAGTGGGAACTAGTGGTTCCCAGGTTTTCTTTGTTGACCATCGTTCATGTAATATTTCCAAGGCAACAAAACTTTCGCCGCAAGTTTTTCGTCTTCTCTTCCACCAGCTGCAAATTTTCACTTGGGGAAACAAACAGAATGATTCCACCGAATACTTCGCTGGTGAAATATGACAATCCAGTTCTTGTAAGCAGGAACACAGACAAGAAATCACCAAGGGTAAGTTGATATCTTTCAAATATGGCGTCGTCACGCTGATCATTTACATGTTGAACAGTTTGTTTCCAAGTTGTTCCGCTTGAAATTTCGAGTTTTGCTGTCCTGAATATAGTAAAGAATAGTGTTATTTTTACTTCTAAAGTTTTTAAGAAAGGTTACGCACGGTTTTTGACTTCGTAATAAAGTTAAATACAATAAAAATTGTGAAGATAATGCGGACCTTTAGATGTAACTTTGTAATTTATTTTAATAAATTGTTGAAAGAGACCTTCTTTCTGTCTGTAGGCTCGTTCCCTAAAAGTTAGCCAACAGCAGGGTTCAGGAAATGCTGGGGCAGGACCAGTTCCTCAGCCACCTCGAACCAATAAACTTCCACCAATGGATGCACAGAAAAATCAACAGACGGATGAGATACTCAATGCTATTTTGCCACCCAGGTTGGGCCTGACTAGTAATTTTAAAATAAGTATGATATCTTAAGTGCATCAGCTTGGTTCAAATAATCAATTGATACTCAAGGATAAACTTTTGTTAAGTTTATCTGAATACCTAGAATGGGAATGTGAATATGGGGATAAATACACTTACATAATGGCAACTGCAGAAATTGAAATGTAAATGAAGATAATTATGCCTCACGCAGTTGTAATAGCAATGTATTTTCTCAGGGATGGTTCAGGGAGGGAGGGGGGGTTCGAAAGGATTTAAACGAACAGATTCCACATGAGCGTTTTGGTACTCCTTTAACTAAGCTATGCGTGAAGACTAATCACTGTACATTGGTAGCCTGTGAGCAAGCTCTTTAATCATGGCAAGTATAAAGTGAAGTTTGTAAGGTTGTACTTTCAATGTCACCAAATACTTATTAGTAAGTTTTTATTGCTATGTTATGACAGAGAGTGGACAGAAAATGGACAGTTATGGGTACAACAGGTGTCTAGCACTCCAGCCACAAGATTAGATGTTGTCAATCTGCAGGTACATACACATACTCTTACTCTTATAAAATTCATGAAGGACGTTGGAAATTTAACTCTTTCAAAGTTATGCAATATTATTGTTGTAATTCTGACGCTTACTCTTTGACCTCATCATCAATTTGGGTATTGTACCTTTAACAAGAAAGTTTTGTCAAACTTTGTTTTTTTGTTTTTTTGTTGTTTTTTTCTTCAGTTAAAATTCTATTGCATGTTATTGTGAAATAATTTTAATTTCAGCTTATGTCAATGTAAACTTACTGTGTTTAGGAGCAACTTGACATGCGTCTTCAACAGCGACAAGCTAGGGAAACAGGAATCTGTCCCGTTAGGAGAGAGCTTTACTCACAATGCTTTGGTGAGTTTTTATGTTATTGTTTTATACTGTAAATGTTATTTTATAGTGTGTCAAATTTGTCACAGTCAAGTCTTTCTATTATAAGAGTGAAGACTGGCACCGCAAAAGAACTGAAGTGTCCGCATGGCCTATAGGAGATTGCTAGAATGAATCTCACTCCACAGTCAATGAAAATTATTTAAGAATAGCCGGGTTCAACTCTAGCTGTGGGATGGTGTCCAACTAAATGTACTCTACAGACAAGCCTTCTTATTATTATAGACACCAAAGGGGCAGAACCTTGTGTTCCCTTTCTAGAGCTGACAGTCTGTATTAGATACTCAGGAACCTAGCAAGTATGCAAGGATGTGCAGTAAAATTGTGGAGTTGTCCCTAAGCCATTTTTTTCTAGTATTAAGTAATAAAGCTACAATCCTGGACAAAAGTCCTTGGGACAGTAAGTCTGCAATATTCCTATTTTTCTGTTATTTCTCAGTTCCCTCTCAAAACAGTGCATCATTTTCGAAATTTTCTTGCAGTTCTCCCTCCCCCTACCCTATACAAAGTTGAAACTCAGAAAAAATTCTGGATACACACGTCCAACATTGTTTGTGGGCCGGGAGGGGTTGGACCTGTGTAAATTGGAAAACGCCCCAGAAATGCAAGTGTCTCAAGGATTTTTGTCCATGATTGTAGTTACTATCTCTGCAACTCTAAAATTCATAATATTAAATTAAGAGTGATTATAGTCTATGCATAGAGAGGCACTTTAATAGACCATGTCTTGTATTCTATCCATTTTAGATGAGCTGATTCGCCAGGTGACAATTAACTGTGCAGAGCGTGGTCTTCTATTGCTGAGGTATGTTTATATGCATTACTGTTCTGAAAAATTGAACGAAGTCCTTTTTGTTGAGTATAAAGTTCAATATATTTTGGTTTGAAGATTCTTCGATGGCAAGTTAGAATAGAAATTTTTATAATGTATGGAATAAGATGTGATCTATCAATATAAATATATAAGCTGGCCTTTATGTGAGGCTGATATCTGGTTGATTGCTGTGAGTCGCCAGGTTAGCGGCACACTAATCTTTGGGTATCCTGTGGTTTCTTAGGTAGTTCCTGCCATTATTTAGGTATTAAATAATACAATCTGGATAAATTTATTTATAATGTTTGTCAGGATGATTTTTAGCAATTATGTCTGTCATCAATGCCATCATAACTCAATTTGAAAAGCCGGGAAGTTATTTTGGTTTTAATTTTCTTTTGTTTCAACCCATGGAGGTATAGCTGCTCCTAGTAGCTGGAAGATATTCCCAGGCCCCAGCCCTTAGCGATGGTAACCTGTCAATGCAATATATTTTTTGTTTTTGTGGCAGAGTGCGTGATGAGATAAGAATGACCATTGCTGCTTACCAGACTTTGTATGAGAGCAGGTGGGTGCAGACTTATAAAGCTTTTATCCCTTTAATATAGTGGCCAAGTTTAACAAAATGCAAATAAAAAACAATTCTTCCTGTCTTTCTCTCTTTTTTTTTTTAAGTTTTTTTTAATCCTAAGAAGTTGGTTCTATGCAAAAGCTCTACCATGTCAACAGATTTAAAATTGACAGTAGAGTGACAAAATAATAATCATTCCATAATGTGGTTTAGGACAGAAGGGTTAATACCTGTAGTTGATATGTAGCACAATATGATTTATTTCACATTTCTCATTTTCTAAAAAGTAGTTGTTTAATACTAGAAGGGTTTACATGGCTGTTATTAAGATTCGCGGGGGCTGGGGATTTCCCTCGGCTACTATGAATGTAGTTCCCGGATACTTTCACTGGAAAATAGCAGAAACATGGAACCAAACGAAATCCCTAGCTGTTTGATTCCCTGCCTACTTGTTGTATTTACCCGGCAACTTGAAATCTTAGTATAGTGACAACCCTTGGTTTAATTAAAATAATAATAATAAGATAGGAGAAAGTGTTAAGTTCCTAAGGCTTAAATATACCATGAGGTTTTTGAGTTAGACCCCGAACACTGACCCTAATGTGGATGTTGTCAAACCAAGCAGTCAGGACCAGTGCACCTGTAGTTTTTTAAGCATTTCTGTTTGGGTGTCCTGTGGTTGGTTTTAGAGGGTGTTTAATGAGCTGGTAGGTCATGTTTACAATTAATTTTCTTGTAGTGTTGCATTTGGCATGAGGAAAGCTCTTCAAGCAGAGCAAGGGAAAGCAGATATGGAAAGAAAGGTTTGTCAAAGAGTGCTAGTACTACATAATTTTTTAACACTACAATGCAGTTTGAAACTACAATGAAAATGCTCCAGTCAGTTTTGGTTGCACGTGAAATATATAAATGCCACTTCGAAAACACCATGATGTTCTCAAATGACCTTCTGGCTAGTGGTTCATGTAAACTTGATGCTCTCGTTATTTTATTTCCTCAAACAGCGCATGCAAGTGCCAATTTCCAGAAATACGCTCAAGTATTTAAATTTGGACAAACTGAAGCATTACATCACGTGCAAATCGTACACAAAAGTTAATTCAAAAGTAAGGTTTACATGAAGCACTCACCAAACGGCAACATTTAAGAATATTATGGTATTTTTTAAGTGGCCTATAACATTCAATGAACCCTTAAATAAACAAATAACTAAATAAATCTATTAACCCATAGATTCAAGAACTTGAAGGTGACAAAAGAGACCTTGAAAGGCAAGTCAATGAACTGAAAGCCAAGTGTGATGCTATTGAGAAACGTGAGGCTGAAAGAAGGGCAGTAGACGAGAAGAAACATGCGGAGGAAATTACGTTCTTAAAGAAGAACAACCAACAGCTTAAGGTACCATCAATACTGTGAATCCCATCAATACTGTGAATCCCATACATCCGTATGTCGCGCGCAATAAACTTACTTTTTTCTTTCAGACCCAGCTGGAAGGCATCATTGCTCCAACAAAGAAGTAGCTTTCAATGGACCAACAACATGAATTATTTTGATGAAGTTGGTTGTGTAAATTTTTGTAAACAACAGTTGTTTCCTGTTCTGTTGTTGCAGCTGTTATTTACCCATGCACATGTAATTATACAGTAGTGGCGCTGTGCAATTTGTATCCATTTCATCTTTTTAGACTATTAAGACCATGCTTTTGTTGTTCTTCAATAATTGTATTTTCTTGCAAAGTAATTGGAACTTATAAAATGGGTATATTGAAACCCTTTTATAAAGGTTGTTTTGCTGTAGATATGACTAACCTTGCTGTAACTGCTCTTAGATTTTTTGGCTGGATGATAAATAAACTTACAGTTGTTGTAAGTATGTAATACGTCTGCTAAAGCGTGCTGATTTTTACTTCAAATAGCCTGCGCGACAGGGGTTATTTTTTTTGCGTTTTTTTCAGGAGAGCGAAGGCGCGCGTTTCTGGCGCCCCTGGCTCGCTTCACGCTTTAAGAATCCTTAAAATCCCTTTGATTCACGGGAGCGTTGTTTTGCCGAACACCGAGTGCCAAATATCTCTGAAGTTAAATGATTATGCTGTTTAGAAACTGAGCGAGTCAAGTTCGTTTTTTTGGTCGTTGTTTAGGGCGAACTAAACTGGAACTTGAGCCAGAAATAAAACAGATAAAAACTTGACGTTTTGTATGTTATTCAACATACATTTTCAAAAGAACATTTACCATAGACAAGATAAAAGAAACATTGATTATACAAGATCTTAACCCAGCCTTTAATGACTACCTCCCCTTAAAGGGCAAATTAAGTCACCCGCGTGTAGCTTAATGTCACATCACGCAACACCCCTCTTCTCCTGGAAGAAGCGTTGCGTGTCGAGACAAAAACGGCTGCGTGGGAAACTACTCGCGCGATAGATGTTTAAAAAAGACAGAGTAGGGAACTTCTTAGAAATTCCAAGATAGAAACGATAAGGCGGTTTGCGGAATGTGCAAACCTTTGCCAGAGAACCCTGAACAGTAACATTGGGGGTACGGTAGTTTCGGAGAAGTTCAACAAAAAACGCTTTCCTTGATGCCTTGTTGCACTTTTAATTTTCTAGCACACAATTACAGTTTTAATCTATTAAATTAATAAATAATAAATAAATAATACGTCTATTTCTTATATACACGTTAATTTTAACTTTCTGTCTTTCTTGTCCAAATTCACTGCCATGCATGACTGAAAAACTAAATGCCATTTTGAAGGGCGAAAATGAAAAAGATAGAATTAAGGGGGACAGATAGAAAGACATCTTTTACTTGGTTGTTTATAACTCCTGTTACAAATTCAGCCTCTAACAGCAATATAATCACTCTGTTGGAATTTATATCAATTGCCTGATATTTCATAATACCAATTTTAACACATTACATGCACTTGCTAGACCTCAGACAAGATAGTTTTCAAAAAGGCAAACAGTGCCATAATAAATTGTTACACTTCACCCTTACCCTTAATATTAAATAATGTAAGTTTTCATTCACACAAAACTTCAAATAAAAATTATCAATGACACACCTTAACATTTCACCTTGAATGCACGATAATTTAAACTGGAAACAAACACTATCAAGAATAAACAAAAACATGCATGCAAAAAATACTTCACTCACTTAATAAGCAACAAAGTTAATGAAAACGAATTTGTTAATTTCACTGAGCTAAGCTTGACGTGAAAGTGATGAATGTACATGCATGCACCTTCTTGCAAATGATGTCAGGAATTGTTTATTACAAAATGAGCAGTAAAAAAGGACATCAGTTCGCTGCCAATATTAAATTATTTTGTACGATCTTAGAAAATGTAACAATAGTGTATGGTAAATGTGATTTCACTCCAGCCTAATTATCAATTCTAGAATTACAGCCAAACAGTTGATACACTACTCTTTCTTTCACATTAAATTTAAACAAATCACACCAAAAATAACTGCTTTGTAAAAAACAAACAGAGAGATAGAGACAGGGAACAAACCCAAAGAAATACAAAAATGAGAAATTGTTCATTATGCCTACAGTAGCATCAACTTTAAATTAGAGACTACTGCAATAAGAATTGCCACAAACATTATGGTAAAGCGAGTGGCCTTGAATTGCACAAAGGAGAGTCCCACCAGTTTCCAGCAACTTAAATTGGCATAATTTCTCTCTGTCAATCAGCATCTGAAAAATCAAAAAAAGAAACAAACAAATTGACTATCTGTCTCTGGTTAGTTAATATTATCATGAAGTTCCAAACCAAAATCTGAACTCAGTAAAAAGAAATGATATCTTGGGCACGTAAAGAAACAAAAATAGTGGTATCATGTATACAACTACCCTACTAACTCGAAAAAGCACCACGGCACTTATTAAGCCATGCGGCGCTTATTTGAGGGTGGTGTTTAGTTGAGATCATTGGAGGCGACAAAAAATTGTATTCACTACAGCATTAATATTTTCCGTAACAGAATCAACATCTTTTGATTTTGATTATATCAAGGCCGCGGTGCTTATGTATGTTGTAATTATTTTTTTATTTCAGTTAATTTTTGTTTTGTCAATATTCACTATCATTGTTATAGCTCTGAGCTCTGGCTGTTTGCATGCCGACATATATTCCAAGGGAGCAAGTCATGACAAACGACCAAGGATCACTTGGGGACACTCTCCAGGAAATTTAGAAATCAATTAAGCACCTTCTCTCAGAATCCTGGCTGTTCATTATCGTTATGGTAATCATTACTGCGATTGTTATTTTTATCATTATCATTATTATAACCGGCATTATTATCATCACCATCATCATCATCATCACCATTATTATTATTATTATTATTATTGTTACTAATTTTTGTCTTGACCTGTTCTATTATTTTGGAAGTTCCAAATTTTCCATTACATTATTTTTTAGATTTCTTTATCCCACCCCATTATTTTCATTTTTCTCCCATTCATTTTTCAAACCACAAATCCCCATAACATAAAGAGAACTCACGGAGATATTTTCAGCTTGGCTGGTGGATCTCCCTTGCATCCTGCCACTTTCCATTTATGATATTCTTGAAGTTTCTTGTTCGTGCTGGCATCACTAGCTGTTCTTCTAGTTGTCTTAAGTGGTGAACTGTCTTGAGTAACCAGAACACTGGATGACCTTCTAGAATCAGGTCTGCTTTTAGTGGAATTGCTTGTAGAATCATTATTTATGTGAATATTACTGCTTGCCCCCTCTGCTGATGGTGATTCACTGGGAATGCGCACTCCATTCTGTTCTAAGTAATCCTCGTTGTTTGCAGTATTTTCAGCTTCCTTTATAGAAGAGTCCTTTGAAAGCTTTCGAACATCATTTGGTGAAGGAGGCACACTAGACAATTCCTCCCCTAGGAAGAGGTATAATTTAAAAGTTATACCAGACAACAAAACAACTGATAACTTATAATTATAGATGACATTCAAGTACAATGTACAGCTGTATGTCTCACACCTGGAAACTTTCCTCATGTCATTAAAAAACACTTAGTACAATGACGTAGCCTATGAAAGAACTTCAGTTGCGACAGTCTTCAGCTAGCTCCTAGACTAGCAATTGAAAGTACATTCATTTGAAACTCCACATCAAGCAGACACTCTCTGTTAGGCAAACACGTCGCAAAGCATCAGTCAATTGAAACATTTTCTTTCTATCTTCAATTAGGATCTTCAAGCTAGTTCAGCTGAAAGCTCGTATTATTTTTAGCTTAACGGAGACTGACATCAGGTTCCATGTGTCATGTAGGTTTTGCCGCAGTGAAATTTAAAAACTACTTGTATTTGAGTTAATGGGCTTCAGCAGTGTTATTGTGAGGTTTAATAACAGTATTATGTTTTCAAATGTGGCTAAACACAAATTAGGTAAGGTAAAAGATGAAACAGTGCACGCCAGCCATCCTGTATGCATGGTAGAGGGCATTTGGAGGGTGACACCAATTTACAGCGTGATAAATTAATTAAGGTCAATTAATTTTGCTCAAATTGCTGTCATGTGCTGTTGTTCAAGCCATTTTGATTCTCGATCCCTCCCTCCCTCAGGATAAGTCTTGGTAATTAAGAAGCTACGAAACTCTCTGCTGAGGTTCTCAATGTGATGGTGCCTGGTGGTTGCTACTCGGTTGTCATGGTTACATTAAGCAACACTCCCTCAATTTGTCCATACACCATCCTACAACAATCTTTTGGAAATGGGTTTAATACCTTGCAAAAATAAAAGTATTATAAAATCTTCTTTACAATCTTTTTCCCATTGAACTAGTTCACTGCTTAAAATAATATTTTATTATTGTCAGTTATTATAAGGTACCTACATGTACCTGTTGACACATTGATGATGCTGTCTGGAGTAAAAGTCCACATGTCCTGATCTCTTCTATTATTTACTTTTCTTTCTATGCCTTCAATATCTCCACCAAATTGGTTCTTACCAGACAGTGAAAGGTCTCCATCAGGTTCATCAAAATTTTCCCACTTGCCAACACTGTTCAAGGCCGCCTCACTTGCCCTTCTGTCAAATACCTCATGCTCATCAAGGTTATTTATATCACTGAAGTTATTAGCTCGCTTCAAACCACCCAATCCATTATACTCTTTTTCTGCTAAGTGTGGAACATCATAGTCTGAAAAACTGGAATTACCAATGAACACGGCGCCAAAGTCCTCAACATGTGAACTGCCACGTGAGGTTAAGTCACTAAGATGCCGCCGAGGCTGCTTACGGACTCGCCTTACAGGCATGTCATCAACATAACCAGACTCAACCAAGCCATATTCAAGATGTTCAAGCGGGTCATTACTCGACGTATCACCAACTGCACCTAGTGCATGGAGGTCATCCTGTTCTTTCCCAACTGCACAGTCTAGTTCTAGAGCCAGACGGTCTCTTTCTGCCTGTAGAGAGGCAATTGTTGCCTCTGCATCTACCAGCTGCCATTCTAAGCTTGATAATTGCTTGTCTTTTTCCAGCAATTTTAACTGCAGTGCGTCCACCTGCCAATTCGAAAGGTCATCAATTGTTTGAATCACATTTGGAAATGTTAGCTATCACTCTAAGCAAATAAATAGAACAAAAACAGGTCCATACAAAGCTGCACAATAGCAATAATTTGACGAACTTTATTTTGACCAAAAACTTAAACAAAGAAAATACAATAAGAATAATACTGATAAAAATTGCATCACAGGACTACTAAAACCTTCAATTTTGTACCCTTTCACCATGCATGATTCTTACAGCTTTTTAGCATTTTTGACTCGCTGAGAATAAAACTTCTGTAGAACATTTGTCAAGACGCCAAGTGACTTCCTGCAGGAAACCTTTGGAGACACTGAAATATTTCTGGCATTGGTGTACATGTATTTTTTTTCTGAAAATGCATCATTTGCCAAACTTAGCTTACAAAGCAAAGCCCATTCACCACAGGCATCCCACCTCCCACACAGCTTCTATACACACCCTTTCTTATACCCTTACCATTACATTGTATACCTACCAACTATTTCACACTAAATTACCCAGGGTCCCAGCCTAATGGTATTGTTAAGCTAAGGTACATGCATGTATGTGATTCTTGGGGTTTTATGAGAAAGAGCGAGAGTATGTACAGTAAGTTGTGTTAGAGATAGGGTGCCTGTAGTGAATTGGCCATGCTACAAGACAGATTTTGAAAAATGTTGCATTTTGCAATGTTTACAAATTAAGCCAAAAAAAAAATGTTTTTCACTGACTTCAAAGATTCCCAGCTGGGAGTCACTTTCTCGACTTGAATCCAGTTTAGAGACCAGAAATGTTCTCCAGAATTTTTTTTTTTCTTTTTCTCCAAGGTGACTGTATATTGCTCCCATTTTCCACGAAATTTCTTTTAGTTACCTTAGCCTCTGCCTCTACTTTTTCTTGGTACAGTTTCTCAGAATCAACAACAAAACCCAAGCTACCCAAATCCACAGGACCTACAATAAAAAACTTCTTGTTACAATTGTATTACAGAGTCATTATCATATCATACTGTTACCTTACGTGTTTCTTTCATGCATATGATGCATGTTAATTGTAGGCTACCGGTACATGTATATGTTGTGATTCGATTTGATCCTTATTTCCATTCAAATTTTATTTTCCTAAATGCTTTCAGGCTTGCTAACATTAAAATAACAATCTGAAATTTAAAATTTGATCCACAACATATATATATGTTACAGGTTAAATTTGATTTCAGGTTAACTTTGATTTAACCTCGGTTGATTCTCAATTTCCTTTCTCTCCTAGCTCTGAGGAACAAAGGAAATTGAGAATTGACCTGGGTTAGAAAAATTTAACCTGAAATCAAATTTAACCTGTAACATACATGAATAAAATTACATGTAAGTGAATGTCTACAGGTATAAATTATTCATAGTTTTGGTGTACCAATAAAATTGAATAAAATTAATGTTAATGTACATTCAGATGTTACACCCTATATCTGGCTTATTTCGTAGATACTAAGACCCTGTTTACATGGAGTGGGGGACCCCGGTCTAGTGGGGTAAGTTTCTTTTGTTTTGTGTCCCCCAGAGCGTGAAAACAAAAGAAACCAACCCCACTAGACCGGGGTACCCCACTCCGTGTAAACAGGTCCTAAGGTGTATATAAATTAATTACACTGCAAAGAACTCAACTAGGGCCACCACTGCACATTGATATTTAACAAAACATGTTCTCTTGTTTGATTGGCTAACAAGCAACTTATGACACACTCTTTTTGTGAACATGACCTGTGATGGACTGATTAATGCTGAAAGGCCACAGTTGAGTTCATTTTACTGTAATTAAATACATACTTTTTGCAGCCCTAGAGTGCATTTTGCTGAGAAGGAATTTATAGTACCAATAAAATACAGCCATGTAAGATGCTAATGTTCACTGTTAAGAGTGAAGCAATAGCAGAACACTTTCTCTATTGGTATTTTTGCCCTCGTTTATTACATTATTGTCAGATGAAAGGGAGTTGTTCGTTTAATTTAAACAAAAAAAACTTCCTCAATCTCACACCTGGTACTTAGAAAGTATTTGGGGATAAAAAAATTCAAGAATCTTTAGGATCATATTAGAAAACTGATTGTGTTTATGAAAGAAGAATTCACATTACTGGATAGCCATTATGGCTGCTTGAGGACAAAGCTACATGTATCATGTTGCAAACCAAGACAAAGTACATGTAATATCTCTTTCACTCCAGTGAACAAAATATTATTAAAAGCAGACACATCAAAACATGATATCATTTTTAGAGTAAACAGTAAATTTTAAGTTGATACCTGTTTCACCTTTAGCAAATGCTTTCTGCGAAGCTAATAATTGTAGGTTGACTTTTCTAAGATTACTAACATCTTCTTGGAGCAATTCCTTTGTTCGTTGATATTCTGTTTCCTTATCTATCAAGAGCTGATCCACTTGAGCCTTCTCTGCAGCCAACTTCTCACAGTGTATTTGTAGCTGATCAAACTGAGCTCGCAGACTATCAATTGTTTCAAACACTTCCTCCAATGCCTCCTCCGCAAACAAGTCAACTTCACGTGGAGTTGCAGCACTTGAAACCTCCTTCTTAGGCGAGTCCATAGTCTATTCTTCATATACTACGATCATTGCTCTCTCTGAAGTCTGAACTTCATATGTTCCTTGATGAAAAGAAAAAATAATCTATCAGTAAACACAACAAAAACCTATCACTTTTGTGCCAGGACTGCATGGGGACACAGCAAAAAATACTAAGGATAGGGAACTTAAGATCTGACTGCAACCTGCAGTAATGAGAACATCATAAAATGCAATTAATAGGTTTAACATTCAAAACACCTTCTCTACACATGTCAATGCAAAACTACTATGTGAAAGTGCCTAAATTTCACATGTTAAAGAGGATGCAAACAAGACTTTAGGGGTCACAAAACTTTCTCTCTCTTTCTGATTTCTTGTATTAGAAATTCAGCACCAGATGAGTTCACCTACATGTACATTTCATTACTTGGAATAACCAAGATGAAATGCACTTTTTAGAGCAAAATGTTTGCCTCCGTCGCTGTGCTAGGATCTTTAAGTCCCTACTAACTCTTTTAGATTCTGTGGGATCTCACCAGTCATCGGAGGACAAGAACTTCTTTTCTTTCTCAATTAAGCAACTGCTGAGAAACCACATATTTAGAGTAAATGGTTCTGACCTAGGAAGTGGATGTTTCAAGCATCAACTAGCTACAGGATAAAGTGAAATGCCATGGATAGAGTGTCTCCTATTGTTTATGACCTTTATTTATTAAGCCACAAAAAAATGCAGCACTAACCCCAGGATTAGTTACATATTTTCTGAAAGACATATCGTCACAGGTTTGCATTTCAAGACTCAAGAATTGAAAGACTTTAGACTATTGCTGCACAGTTTTTGACTGACTGTTTTATGCATTTATAAGCTGCAGTCTTAAAAGTAGAGATAAAAATTATTTCAAGACAAAAATGTTGATTTGTATGTACGCAGAAAACAACATCCTATATAAGGAGCATGTTTAATTTTATCAAACAGCCCTAATGATAACAGGAAGCAAATTACTTTATAATAAGATAAACAGTTTTTTGTCAATCAGCAAAATCTGTTTAAAGAGACAATGATTTCCAGTATGGGAAGAGCTCATCATGCCCTTACAGAGAGCTTTCAGACAGAGTAATTGAAAGAAAATTCAATTACAAAATAACAGCAATTAAATTTCTCCAATCTGATACTGTTAAACCTGATGCAGACCAACTGATTTCAATATTTCATCGGGAAAACCCAGTGAATATAAGTTTTCAAAAATCTCCTTAGAAGTTGTTTTGGGCAACCACAGAAGTAGATCTGACCTTTCGACTTTATCAGATATTACTAATAACTATTTGAGAAGTAAAACACCACTTAACATCATCATAATCACCATCATATCATTATTGGGATGACTTGTATGAGCTGCCAGCAGCAGAACATGGCAAGAGTGTAAGAGCAACGCGACTGTCTATTTTATAAGCCACATCTACAGGTAACGTAAGCAACACACTCACTGTCAAATCATTTAAGGAACTTTGAACTATGGACCTGCTGCTGGCTTTTAAAAAGGATATATATTGATCAAACTGAAGACTGAAATTGTCTCCTTTTAACTTAGCATTATCTCTTTATTTATCATTCACTATGTTTATATATTTATTTCATATTTGAAAGCAGTTTCTACTTTGGCCACCACACACATTCAATACTCAGTGTTCTCCTCATCAGGCGGTAACCGGTAAAATTTACCGCTTGAAGCAACACTTCTTACCACCTGCAACCACTTGAAGTGTTGCTAAAATTAAATAAGTTGTTTCCAAAAATATGCAAGTTGTGATTCAAGCTGATCCTCACAAGAAAAGGAAGTAAATACGGAAAAAGAAAAGGTATACACAGCTACCCTCTCCGATTACTTTATTTAAATGTAAGTGCTAACTGGCACCTTTCAAAGCAGCACAGGCTAACAATTTTTTCGTGGGCTTCTCAGACTTTCTCAACCAGCAGGAAAAGTTTGCAATTTCTGCGACTTGTGTTACTAAATTGACCCTAGCAACAAAGGCAGCTTTCATTCATAAAATTCTTTGTGTTGAGGTGTTTAAAATACTTTTCGGTCAATTGGTTGACAAGATGCTAGAAAATAAAAGCCTTCATGAACACGAAGCCCCTCCCCTGACAGGAGAGTGCGCCTCTGGTGCATATTGTCTTACCGGTCAAGAATGGTCCCTTACCTGCTGAGCTAAAAATTTGCTGAGCTAAAATTTAGGGGGAACTTTGAGTATGCTATGTGTTATTTTATTTAATTAAATTTTCAAGAGAATCTGTTCCTGTTTTCATTTATATCTGTGAACTTACAATGCAAATAGTGTAAAAGAATATGAACTTGAACTTCAACTTGATTATTAATATTATCATTATTATTGTTACTAGTCTTCACAAAATAATATGCATATAATGTTAATTTTTTTAGCCATCTTTTTTTTTTTCTCATTAGAGGAAAAATTCACTAATTGAAAAGGAAAGCAAAAAAATAAATGCTGTTAGCGGTAGGTTTAGTTTACAAACTCAAATGTAACCTGCTCTATTATTATGATGTCTAGATCTTAATGTTCTGAATGGCTGAAAATTTATTATTTCCCTACTTCTAACTGCAGGTGACAATCTTAGTTCAGTTTATTTCAAACAAAAAAATAAGACTTAACAAAACAACAAAACTTTTATAATGTTACGAAGGAATTTATTGGTTATTTGTCATCATACGAACACAATTAATAACCTGATTGACATTTTTCTCCCTCATAATTGCATCAAAACTAAAGTAAATAACAAAATAATCATAATTATGAGGAAAATAATACGGAGTTTGCAGACACTACAGTGTATAATAACTTTTTCCTGAATCTTCCTATAAAATTCCACGTTCAATTTTATTTTTTCAAATTGCAGCATGAACTGGCTTAGTTTTCAATTCAATTTAACTAATATGAAAGTGACGTGAATTTAGGTCTTATAACTTGTGGTATTATTTTATTATACCATTCATCCAAGCTGGCGAAGTAGGCTTAAAAACCGCGTATTTCACAAAAATTTGCAACTTAAACCCACTCGAAATAGAAATTCCCGTAATCCGTGGCGAGACGTGCCATTATCTAAATGATAATGCAATTAATAATGACACGGAGTGTCGAAATTGCATGCCTTCTTCGTTTCAGAATTACTTCAGCTGAGAACATTTGATTTTGTTGAACTCTCCGCATGGAGGACAGTGTACAAGGAGACAAATGCCAGCAATGTTCGAAAACGCTCTGACAAAAGAGAGCCGTCGAAGTGTTACACGGTCAAAAACGCAGTTTTTGAAGAGGAAAATAAACAAAGATAAGATCGTGCACACTTCTCGGGAAGCATGTACAGGAAAAATAAATTAACCTCGCTGTCTTGAGGTTCCGAAAGGTATTAAAAACATTTCCAATCAGATATTGCTGCTATTTACTATGATTTCGGAAACAAGCTTGAATATCTTTGACCGGCAAGACATAATGTTAAGGTATCTATTTCGTCTGAAGAAAAGCAAAGAATAAATTCGTCGAGTTATCGAATTATTCTGACAGCTGACAGTAGCTTATTACTCACTCACTATTGAATATCGCTGTGACGACTCAATATATCTTACCTTGCAAAAACGAAACAAACGATGAACATAGACAAGTCATCTCTATTTCGTTACATAAAGCTGATTTAGCGTTTTCATGATTCCGTGTAGACAGTGAACAAAGAATATGTATGAAAACAGTGGTATTGATTTCAACCCGTCTGCAAAGTCACATGCATCATGGAACACTCGAACAATGGAGAAAGAACGCGCGTGCGTATTATTTTGTTGTCATGTATTGTTCACGAATAATACACCTGCAGACCCCCCGGTGTGGTGTGGGTAAACATCGATTATCGTAATTGTGTTTTTCGATTTCTTATCGTGTCTACTGTGGACATGAATCTCTCTTTAATGAGTTAACTCGAGTTGTGGAAGGACGTATGGCAACTGTGCAAAGGAAGAACATTTAAGAGCGCCTGTCCGTAAAAATCAAACATATCGCGGCAAGGGTGAAAAATTCGATTTCTTTCATATTTTAATGTTAGATAGGCCAGGGTATAACTAAAATCACTGTATGGTTTTTTTGGTGAAATATCCTTTTATTTCAGAGATAAATGCAAATAAGCAAAATACATTAAAATCGTCATTTGAGGCGCTCAATTATTACATGGGTTTGAAAGCCTCGCGTGCAAAAACGGATTACTCTACCGTCTTTAAAACATCACAGCCTTCTTTTACAACTTCTAAATATCTGTTAAAATGATTTGGGGAGATAGTGCTCTGTTCTTTGTATACAATATAATTTAATTTCGAAGGCATACAATTTACTTCAGTAAAAGTAATGCGTGAAAAAACGTAATTTTCACCATGTGCGAAACCTTCAAATCGATTGAGCTGCTGGTGGTTGAATTTTAGAAGGGTGGTCTACAGATTCCTGTAAAAATTTCTTTGGGCAAGTGATTAATAGGCACGCGAGAGCTTTACAAAATCTGTTAAAAATGCAGATTTTTGACCTTCTGCGGTCAACTTTGAAGTTGCGAGTCGGACATAAATTTAGTCCCTTCATTTTTCTAAACCCACATTAAGTTAAAATAAGCAGATAGAAAACCCTTTCGAATTGTTTTTACCTTATGATGAGCAGTAAAGGACCGGTCCAAAGATCATTTTAGCACGATTTTCCGGTCGTTCGTCGCTTGACCTCTGGTTTGTAACGTCTGCAATTAATACACCTCACACCCGACACACCGCGTCAACTTTCGACGTCTTCAAAGGTCGAATACCAGTCTTTGATCAGTTTTAGGCGAATTTTATCACGATTGCATCTTCTTCGACGGCTTAGCCGTTTGTTAAACAATGCTTTACACCGCAAGAAAGTATATATCTGACCGGTGCTACAACGGCACAATAATGTCGACGCTGTTCGTCACGCAATACTGTCATGTGCATTTTCACTGGGGAGGAGTGGTGGTGCTAAAAAGTACATGTAGCACACCTAGAAACCCTTTACACACGACTAAAGAGTTTTTTTAAAGCCGATTTATCAACGAATACTACGCATTTGCACGATGGCATTACTTTACTTTACCTTTCATGTATTTTTTTTTAAATTTAGTAATCCCAGCAAGATCAAAAGTCCTGATTTGTACAAGAAAGCGAACTGAGGATTCTGGTCGTAGCATAAAATGGTGTCATCGTTAGTTACGACATAATAAACATCGACAAAAAACTGAACCTGTTGGCGCTGCGACAAAAAATAGAGTTTGGCCTTTGCAAAAAATTGGAAAATTTTGTAATTAACAAAACTTGAAAGATGCCTACAGCTTTTTGTCAGGCGACAAAATCCTCTGTTCCTTTTATTTTGACAGCTATCCTTCGTTGGGTCATCTTATTTCGCGAACGTTACCAATTAACGTTATTGGTTACACTAACAACTCGCGTGTCACATTTGCGAACAGGGTTTCAAAAATGAAAAAGAAGCAAGAATCATTGTTGCAGGCGCTAATCAAAAGGGGTATGCTGCTAGTTGCGACCTGTTGTATACGAATTTTTGTGAGTGTAATCAGTTCTTGTTTTGTATAAAAAGGTTATGAAAGTTTTCTGTACAGATTCTTCGAGACTTGTGCCTTTTATTCGTTAAAACACCGAAGTCCCTTTAAACACTTTACACGAATGTATAGTGACTGCGGCCCGGGAGAGATGGGGATGGGTAATCCCTTATATCGGCTATATAGGTGTGTGCGGCGCCAAAGAGTATGGTTTTTTATCTTTTTTGGTCTAAAAAAGGGTATCAGTTTCGACCAGTTTGGTCTGGGTATGTTTTTTTAGAAGAAGCTACTTCTTCATAATTAGGCGATAAGACCATTTCCCTTTGGGTTTTAGGCTAACCGGGTACGTTTCGTAACAGTACAATTTTGTACAGTTTTGTGTCCTACTTAATCAAAGGGTGTCAACATTGCCTTTAACATTGGTCTGACCTAGGGAACTGATTATAAGGCAGGTCTGAAATAGGGTATTGATTTAAGGATCAGGTCTGAAGTAGGGTATCAAATTTTTGATCAGGTCTGAAATAGGGTAGGAAAAATCTCAGATTTTGGTCTGAAATAGGGTAAGGGTTTCAGAAGGCGTGCCGCACAACCCCGCCAAAATTTTTCTGGAAGTACCCCCCCTTCCCCGCCCCACACCGCCAGGGATTGCGTGAATAGCGCGCGCACTGCGAAAGATTGTGACGTCACAGCTCATGCAAACCCGACTTTTGCATGGGCTGATTTAGCAACAGAACGCGAACGTCAGTTGACGACGGGAAAGCGCGCGGAAACGACTAAACGCGACTTTCGTTGCCAATGTGCCGTTCTGTTGTTTGATTTGCGCGCGCCGTCGTCAACTAACGCTCCCGTTCTGTTGCTAAATCAGCCTAGAGTTGTGTTTGCAAGAGAGTTTGTAGTAATGACGTCACGATCTTTCACGGTGCGCGCGCTATTTACGCGCTATCACTTTGCTCTTTATCTTCGAGATAATCTTCGTCATCAATAAGCAGATCGTCCCATTCCTCTTGTATTCCTACTATTTAAGAAAGTTATGAGGAGTAGAGAGAGGGCGCTTATTCGATAGGGGCGCTTGTTTGATATTATGGCCAACGGGGTGAGCGCTTATTCGGGGACGGGCGCTTATTAGAGCGTGGGCCCTTACCGAGGTAATACGGTACACAGATATGTAACAGGTTAAATCAAAAGAGTTAAAATGAACGCACAGGACAGACCACCAAACGGGTTCAGATGCATTTATACAAAATAGAAATGCCGTTTGTTGAAAGGAAAAGTTAACAAGCGCCTCCCTTATTAAGCGCCCTCCTTCCAGTTTAAGCACCTCTCCTTTTAGCCGAGCTGGGGCGCTTGTTCGAGGAAATACGGTATTTACATGTATTTATATTTGCAAAATATAACGAAGTTTTAAAGAGCTGTCTCGCAACACCACCACTACTATGATTCTAAGAGAAGGGTTGGGAAATGACCTAAATGTCAAAGGTCCCTAGACTGTGACTGCATGCTTACGTTAGAGTTTGTTCTACAGAATTGCAGCTGCAGACTTTTACTAAATTCTTTAACAACTCCAAGTACGACTTCCTTTCGGCAGGTTATGGCACTGATAACGGTCCTGATACCGTTTAATAAAATCACCCAGTCCGGGAGCTGACAACCAAAATTGTGAATAAACAAAATGACCAGTATTTGGATCTTAATAGGGAAAGACCGTGTCTAAGGGTATCACTATCTTAAGCTATAGATTGTCTTCATTCACTCTATACCGGAGAGCTTTTGTGCAGGCACAAAAAGAAAGCATATCCGATAGGGCTTCTGTTCACGCAAAGAAGGGTGATTTCGGTCCGAAAAAGCCCCGGGTGGTTACTTGGGTTAATTTTTTCTGGGTATGTGCCCGCTGGCCTCTCAGAGCCCCTACCCCATTATAGTCTATTTTGTGGCCAATTATAGACCCCATCTTAGTCACTTTTGGGCAAATATGTAATTTTCGCCATCCCAACCTTCACTTTCACTGTCTATTTTCATGAATTGACCAATTTTTTAGATTGAATGAGACCACTTTACTTTCCGTCTGCAGTAAAAAAATTGTGGTACGTTTGCTAACCATAAATATGACGAACAGTCTTACCCCCAAAAATCCGAAAATGTGTGACCCCATTCTAGTAACTCTATTGAAAATGCGACCCCATTATAGTCAATCAGTCGTAAAAATGCAACCCCATCCAGCGGCGCATCCCCATTAGCCTCTTATAAGAAAGTACCCCAGCCCCCCCCCCCCACCGGGGGGAAAAAGCAAAGCTGCGACGCGCCGATCTGTAAACAGAAGAGTCACATACCGGATAGGTGTTCATACTTTACCGGATAGCTTTTTGTGTCTGCACGAAAAGCTATCCAGTATAGTGATCGGCCTTAATTATTGCTGTTGTTCTCGTTGTGGCCGTTTGCTACTTCACCCTTCTCCACCCCGCTAAATTGGATTGCGTGACTTACAAACGCTGCCTGCAATTCAAGATGTGAGCACCGGCATTTTTGTGTCATTCTGTTGTAGCAGTCAGATGTAGTATCTGCGCGGTAATATTTTCAGATACTACATTCTAAGCAATGTTTAACAAATGACTGAGCCGTCGAAAAAGATGAAGTCGTAATGAAAAGCCCCGAAAGTTGGCCAAAGAATTGTATTTGTCCGGTGAATACGTTGACAGTTGGCGTGGTGTACAATTACACGTTACAAGACAAAGATCAAACGACTCAATAAGCGGGCTAAAATAGCCTTTGGACTCGTCTTTTACAGCAGATTTTAAGGTAAGAACATTTCAAAAGGGTTTCCTAATTGTTTATTATAATCTACTGCGAGTTTAGACTAGTGACGGGACGAAATTTTTGTCCGCCTCGCAACTTCAAAGTTCGGTCAAAGAGTCAAGTATCTGCATTTTTAACAGATTTTGTAAAGCTCTCGCGTCGCTATTAATCATTTGCCCAAAGAAATTTTTACAGGAATCTGTAGACCATCCTTCTAAAATTCAACCACCAGCAGCTCAATCGATTTGAAGGTTCCGCACATGGTGAAAATTACATTTTTCCACCCATTACTTTTACTGAAGTAAATTGTATGCCTTCGAAATTAAATTATATTGTACACAAAGAACAGAGCACTATCTCCCCAAATCATTTTAACAGATATTTAGAAGTTGTAAAAGAAGGCTGTGATGTTTTAAAGACGGTAGAGTAATCCGCTTTTGCATGCGAGGCTTTCAAACCCATGTAATAATTGAGCGCCTCAAATGACGATTTTAACGGATTTTGCTTATTTGCATTTATCTCTGAAATAAAAGGATATTTCATCGAAAGAACTATACAGTGATTCTAGTTATACCCTGGCCTATGTAACATTAAAATATGAAAGAAATCGAATTGTCCACCCTTGCCGCGAAATTTTGAATTTGTCTGATTTTTACAGACAGGCGCTCTTAAGAATTTGTTTATGCTTAGCGTGCGTATATCGAGTTATGGATGCACGCGGAAAGTTCGGAGAACACGAAAGATGCGTAAGAGTTGCTCGAGGCGATATTTCGCCATAGCGGCTCAATAGGACTTATATAGGGCAAGCACGCGCACTATGTTATAATTAACAATTATTCCACGAGGGCGCGTTGGACATGAGATGATAGATAGCCAACGAGGCGAGTAGCGCCGAGTTGGCTATAATCATCTCATATCCAACAAGCGCGAGTGGAATAATTGTTTTATTAAAAACGCCCACAAAATCTCGTTGAATCTCCCCCACTAGAACAAATCGGAAAAGACAAGGGACTTCCGCTATTCACATGTCACACGTCTATCAAAACTGTCAACGCGCGAACGGACTCGCCTGGAGCCCTGGACTGCATGAATGAAAAATCAAAACATTCTAGCGATGAACATTAGTTTTTTAAAAACTCATCGGGATTCTAGGATTTTACACAGCAGAACAGCTAAAAAAAACCTGGCAGATAATGTGAAGGATAAATTAAACAAGCCGCAGTTATCTATCGGCGAGTGATTCGATCATGGAGAGCATGGTATAATAGCTCATATACCATAACGGGTAAGCCAATCAAAATGCTAGAATTGCATTATCCAATGATTCAGTTTTTAATAATCAATGTTACAACAGGAGCCTGCGGCTCCAACGATAGCATGCGTTCCAAGGCTCTCCTACTATCGTATTTGCTTCACTCGGAAAAGAGTGAAACAAGGGAAATGGAAAATAGCAGCCTGTCTAGCAGTCGTTTCCTTTCCAAATTCTCGCGCCCCATCTAGGAAACGGGCTGTCACAAGTGTCTAGGCCATGGGGCGAGGGAGGAGGGGGGAGGCTTACTCAACAACGTTTTATACCAGGTAAGGCTCTGCCCCAAGATCTTTTGAAATATATCATTGTCGTAAGGTATCATTTGGTCCGAAATATTTCAGTCGAAGATACTCTCAAAAAACTGCCATGACCCTTTCGTGCCGTGGCTCATATAGGACCCGACCGTATGGGAATCCAACCCTAGAATTCACTGATGGGTCATTCATGGCTGTGCGATACGTAACGTACCCTAGTCCCAGTAGCCTGAATTTCATCCGATAGTTGTTGAGAGGGGAAAACGACTCGAAGCAATCGGATGAATTTCAGGCTATAGTCCCAGAGGTTTTTCTTGAAATTTTCTTCGCGAAAGAGAGAGAGAGCCGTGAAGCGGCAAGGAGAGTGAGAAACACGTGGTTTTTCTCTCTCTCTCCTCGCAGCTTCGCAGCTCGCTCTCTCTTTCAGGGGCACCCAGCGACTTTTTACTGTAAAATAACTGTTTGAAGGAGCAAATATTGCCTAGAAATTTCTCAGGGGCGCCCACGAGAATATAGTTCAAAACCACTTAAACATATCATTGTTGAACGTACTAATTTTAGTATTATTTTAAAGGGTAGATATAGTCATATTTTTTTCTCCCAAAAATTTTTCATCTGTTCGGATTTCCTAGCTGAAAATCTAGTGACGCGAAAATTATAGGGATCAACACTTACCTTTTCGAAAATTTCAGCCAGAACTTGAAAGGCTTCTGAAAACTCAAGGTGACTTTTTTAGAGTAAAAAATCCGCTAAAAATGGGCAATTATACCATTTTCTAGATGTTCCAAAATCCTAGGAGAGGCAGGCAAGCAAGAAATTTTACAACAAATGTTCCGAAAATTCTAGATCTCACAGAGTCGTCTTCCGAAACGATATTTTCCAAAAATTGTCGTTGGGTGCCCCTGATTTCTAAAGCTTGTGGAAAGGTAAAACTTTCTGGATAACCGTTTCATTCGTCCAAGATATTAAAACATTTTCTAATAGCTATTAACTACGATTTTCGGAGTTTGTGTTAGTCACATTTTAATACCTAAATGTTGCGATTGGTGTTAAAAAAAGGTCTCCTAAAACTTTCGGTGTAAAGACAAAACGTCCCCTAAAATTTTCTAATGAAAGCAAGGCTTCTTCATGTCCTCGTAATTTCGACCGAACCCATAAGAGTAACCAACACTTTCGGATCAGTCGAAAAAGCCACCGAAAACCTTCGTGACAACAAAAGTTCGCCTAAGACATCCGAACAGATAAATAGTTTTTAGGGCAGCTCCAAATTAACCAAACAGGCTTCTAAAGCACAGGGAAAACCATTTGAGACACTTCTGGCGTATATTTGGCAACATTCGGTCGTTAGATGCCCCTACTCTTTCGCAAAAGAAACATTTCAAGAAAAACCTCTGCGACCAGGGTATGTGTAACGGCACTGGTCATGGTTCACTGGCTAAGGGCGCTTACCATTGGTCAGACCTGGCCGGCGGCCACTCCAAATCCAACCTCGTTCTCGCTCGGTATTGACGAGTAGGAGGGAACCGGTACCTTGGCAAAGAGGTTTGTAAGTTCCAAGTTTCTTTGGTCTTTTCTTAATCAGTTTGCACACCTCTTGGTCTTGTTTTACAGTCAAACCAAGTCAAGCGTACCCTCCAAGATTCTATCAGTGAATTGATTATTTGAAAAATGAATCCGTTAGTTGTTCCCGCAACTGGTGTCAAATTCAAAGCGGCATTTCTGCATGCGTAATGAGCAGTGAATATTTTACGAGAACGTCTCTGTATTTGGTCAGATTGGAAATCTTTGAATGGATTAAGCTTCTTAGAAGACATTTACATCAATTTCAGGAAAATGGAGCTGGTAGAAATTTCATAGCTGCCTCGCGTGTGAATTCACGGCTCATTACACATACAAGAATGCAGACAGTCCGGGATGGTTATCAAATTTGATAACCATGTTACGTCACAGCATGGCGGCCATTTCGGAAATCGGAGATTTTCGTACGCCGTTCGTGTTTTTCATTTTTTATTCGGTATTGCTCGCCTTATGTACCCATAAGTCTATTGGAGTTTGGTGATAGAGACACCGTTCATCAAGTGCAAGAAAGATGGCGTTCACCATAGGATGATTGAAGCGAAATTTTTGCCCGAGAAGTGACAGGGTGGTTGGAATAACACGTTGAAATGAGGTATGTTTTTCAACTTTGCCTTTAAGTTTAGGCTAGTAAAAGAATTTTGTCGCAGTTAAAAAAATTATGGAGTTGATCTTCAAACTATTTCCTTTCGATGCAACTGTTATTTGTCCGAATGCAAACTGACGGGAAAAAGTGCATGGGGTGGTCTTGATTTACGGTATAATTCTGTTACTAACCGCCATTTTGTGTTTTCAACGGAGCAACTACAGAATACAGGGCGTTGCTGTTATCTGTCTTTTTATTATTCCGGGCAATTTTAACGTTGTTGCATGCTCCGTTTAAGGCTTGAACAGAGCATTATACTCGAATCTCTCGTTCCTTGCGTCGACCTTTTTGTATTTAGCCGTCGTGAAAATGCTGCCCTTAAAGAAGTATGACTGACTTCTTTGTCTTAACTGGCTTGTTGTGCTCCATAGGTTTTGGTGCTTGCTACTGGGAATTTAGATGGAAGTTAATGAACATAAAAGGAAAATAGCAAACCTTTGTCGATTTTGTGGCAAGACCACCAAATTAAAAAGTGCAAAAGCCAAAGGTAACTTCAAGAATGAGTTTGCAACAGGTTATGGCATTGTTATTGAAGAAGACAATGACTTCATACATCCACCATGTGTTTGTCTGTCATGTGTGAGACATTTTTATCGCTTAAGAGATTCAGCTTCAAGAGGAGAACTTACTTCTTCTTTGAGTAATACTCCATGTTCTTGGAAGCCTCACACAGAAGAAAGCTCATGCATTTGCGACAAAAAAGTAGGGAGACCAGGTCTGATTAAGAAAAGGAAACGTGTTGAAGTGGCAAGTGGAAGTGACACTGCAAGTGGGGAAGAAGAAGAAGATGAATATGAGAAAGCTTCTTGTGACATTTATAGCACCATATCAGAGAATTTGCATCTTATTGATGAGGAATTAGCAAGAGCATTATGTCGCGATCTTTGCTCCCGTTTTGGTCTTGTCTTCATTGATCCAAAAGACATATTTTCATCAGTGAAAAACATTGATAGACAGCTACTATTGAAATTAGTTGAAGCTATCTTTTCCCTTGAGAGAGAAAACTTGAAAGCTGACTATTGCGACCGAAGTTACAAGAGCATTTCTGATTTGTTGACAGTGACACCTGAATCCTGGCTTACGTCACAAAATGTTGTCCTTAAAAGTGTGGTGAATGGGTTGAGTGATAGCGGTACAAAACCTGTCAAAAAGGTTATGGCTGTTGATCAGATGTACAGTTTGGTGAAGCCGAACTTTATTAGTCCAATCATGTTTGGAGCTAACTTGGTTATGTACTCCATTGCACGCAGCAAAATGGCAGTTAACATATATGGAAAACTGCATCCAGGTGGACAATACAAAACTATGAGGTCATGGCTTGATGGATTAACAATGGAAATCCCCACGATGCCTGAGAATGACATATTAACTGCAATAGACAATGACCAAGTTCTACTAAAAAGGTGGACCGTGCGCAAGGACAATCATGCACAAATAAGTATACTAACAAGTGTCTGCTGTGCAGAGGTTGGTTCCATGGACCCTGTTCTACAAAGAAATGAAAGGCTTGCACCAAGGTACATGCAAATTGTGTAAAATATAGGGTTACAGTAATTATTATTCACCTCTATTCAAATTTCATTTTAGGAATTTAAAAGTTGCCTTGAAGTATTTTTCTTTGGTTATACAAAGTCATTTCAAACTAAACTCAGATAGAGTTTGGCCTTGGAAAACTGCATATCAATTTTGCTACCCCAATTACATGCATTGATTCTTTATTCCAAATAATATTACTTTATAGTACATGTATGTTAAGTGCAGCCAGGAATCTTTGTTTCTTCGAGTACCTTCAATTTCTTAATAATTATCCCCGATTTGTCATTTAAAAAATACACTTCCCTTAGGCTTTCCTCACATGACTGTAATTTTACCCCAATTAAATGAAACTCCCAATTTATCATTATATTTTTGCTAATCCAGTGGCATATATATATAGTCAATTTCTGCCTATATTATAACAAAGTACCGCACTGTATCTTAATATTGTTTTTACAGTTTGTGTATTCTGGCAAAGTAATTTATTTAATCATTATTTTGCTAACAGCAAATGGCCTGACAGATTAGCAGAGGCCAGAAATGACCCACTGAGGGAAATGCAACTTGTCCAAGATTGTTCTGCCAACAATGACGATGTCATGCTCTTACGTAAGGAGGTAATAGAAAGAAGTACATGTAACTCATTAATAAAGAATGTTTTCATTTGTTACTTATCTGTATGAAACTGAGTTTATTAATCAGGATACACATTATATTTATATTATCATTTTTGTTGTTTCTTGGTTTTCTAGAATAAGAAAATGATTCATGACATCCTCCACAAAGTTGTGAGAGAGCAGACAAATTCTGAAGGTGGCTGGACAGATGACATTGACATGAGGGTTGCAGAGATGCAGGCTAAAGAAGGGATGCGCATGTGCCCTGCATGCAACACCAGCATGCCAAAGACAAAGTGCAAATGTATTAATCAAGAGTGTCGAGTCAGTTTGAAAAGTGCTGAAAGGGAAGCCAATGGCACTGACATCCTTGGGACTGCACTTGTTGCCCCTATCCGCACTTATCATCACAGAGTCCATGAAACATCACTTGGGTTCCAAATTGAAGAAGATAAGGCATTTGTTTACAGCAATGAGGAGATCTGGGAAACTCACAATGAATGGACTGATGTCCCAAGTAGGCATCCAGCAAATCCTATCAAGGTGCAAACTTGCGACCCAGTGTTTGTTAACCCCAATTCATTTGATTCCATTAAAGAAGTCCTTAGGCGGGTAGGACATGCTGCTTCCATTTCTAGATATCATCCAGACAAACCAAATGCACGCAAATGGTTGAGTGTCACCATGGATGGATCCCCATATTTGGTTAGTAGAACTGTGATTGACACCGTCTATTTGTGTTGTGATTGTGAAGCAGAGGTTCTGAAAACAAAGCAAGATGAACATCGTGCTGATGAACACAGGGGCCGCAGGGTTAAGTTTGTTCAAGAGTTCGACTGGGTGTTATTGCGCATTGGAAAACTGCACTTGGAAATGAACATGGCGAAGTCATTCACTAGCCTTTACTGGGATGTGTTCATGTGTGATCTGGCCAAAGAGTTGGGGTTTAATTCTGAAGCAGCTCAGAAGTTTGTCAAAAAATGCTCTGATCATCACAAAACAATGTCTATTTTGAAAGTGGCCCACCTTGGATTCTGGTATGAACTTCTTGTACCTTATGTGCGTAGCCGCCTTGCATCTGGGACAGCCCTGTCAGTAAATGACTTTTTGTATGACTGGTTAGTTAAAGTTGGTTGGACCCAGCCCAACTACAGGTACATCTTTAACACTACCTGGACATACTTAATGGGAATCAATTTACTTCATGTGGGTGTCAGAAGGAACAATGCAGAGTATATTCGAGCTGGGCATATGGCCTTTGCTCCGCTGTTCCATAGAAATGGTGTTTCCAAATATGCGCTCATAGACTTGCATGACAGGTTAGTAATGACCGCTACATTTTATTGGTACAGTGGTTTTCTTGCTAGCTGAGCTTTCAAAAGAAGTAAGAAATAAAACTCTCACACGCTGAATGCGGAATGGGTACAATGTCATGCCAGATCAGCAGGTTTCATGCTTTGCCAATAAAATTAATGGTTGCTGCATTCTTGTGTGACAGGCAAACTACATTCAGTGTTCAAGAATGACATCTTCCTCATTTTAGAAAAGCATGCATAATAGTATTTTATGTTTGAATTTATGAGCCATGTATAAAATATATGAAAATATTTGCACCACGTTAGGCTTGGGTTAGTTGAAAAAACTTAGTAACTTCCCTCCTTAACTAGATAATAAAATTATTATTGCAATCATTTATAACTTCTCTATAAGTTTTCTATGGAAACATTGGCAGTTTTTTCTATAATTCCTTGAATAAAACTAACATGTAACCTCGAAATATTTAAGACCCTTCTTGAGATTGTGGCAGTTCCAATGAGTGTGCTATTATTTTCTTTGATTCTTAGTGTGGATAGAGCTTCATTTCCCCCAGAGCTTGCTGAATTTGTCTCCAGGACTGAATCAATAAGCACGTCTGGAAATCCTAGCAAAGGAGAGTGTATGGATGCAAACCTCGAGGAGGTTAACAAAGATTCAAAAGTCTGGCAGCATGGTGTCATGACAGCAATTGACTGGCTGAGAATATTTAGGAATCTTGGCAAGTTAACCAAAGTAAGCATTGTCATAGATATACTATTACCTCTTAAGATGAATATATAATTTATGTGATCGATTTAATTTCAATCTAACATGATGCTTTGTCTCAACAGAGTAATAATTTGGTTGTGTATGAAACAAGCAAACCTTTGCTAAAATGCTAATTATAAGATATTAATACATGTTTTTTTCTTTGGTTTGAAATTTCTTCTAGACCAATTTCATTTTTATTTTTCTTAGTCTGAAATTCATTTTAATAATCTCAGACAAAGGGAAACGAAGATGAAACTTCAAACCAAAGAAAAATTTGAACCACAACATATTATATGTATAACCCTGTAATGAACTCTGAAATGGAGCTGTAAAATATTAGCTTCTGCCACAAGCAGTATGTAACTGTCATTACTTGTTGTGGAAATTTCAGTTACAATAAGTAATAACTAATTCTCCTTCTGTAGGTACGAGAGTGGCTGTTATGCTTGATTGGGATGAATGATCCAAAGCAAGATGCTGGTGTGTCAAGAAAGAGGTATGACTTCAAGGAAGAAGTTCTTGCATGGAGAATCAAACTTCGAAGAGAGAGGTAAGCTGATTTCACCTACATTTATGTCAGTAACAAGTTATAGTAGCTTGCATCCATGCAGCTATATTATGGATGGACTACAGTGTTTATGGTATATAATACTTTTCTCAAGATTTGAAAATGACTAAACTGAGACATTACAGCCACAACAGACTATCTTTGGTATTTATCAGTCAGGGGTTTCAATAACATTTATTTCAGATGGGTAGATGAAACATAGCAAGCAGGTAGATTGATATTTTAATTGGAGGGGCTGAAGGCCCTCCCAAGTAGGGGAGGTCTGGGGGCATGCTCCACTGGAAAATTTTGAAATTCATTACTCGGAGATGCATTTTCCTGCATTCTGGGGGCGATATTAGAGGCTCCTGCTTTATTAAACAGGGATCCATTTTCAATAAATTTTAGGACATATTAGCATGAATTCCTGTACTGAGCTGTATTTTATTTTAAACCAATCAAACGGTCTTCTTCTTCGTCACAGGCGGGTAGTTCTACCTGCTACCCGGCTATTATTGAAACCCCTGTATCCGTGTTGTGTTCTTAGGCAAGACACATTACTCTCACAGTGTCTCTCTCCTCCCCGGGGTATAAATGGGTACCAGTGACAGTAATGTTGGGGGATAACCTGTGATGGACCAGCATCCCATCCAGGGGGGAGTAGAAATACTCCTAGTTGCTTCATGCTGCAGCCTGATGGGCCACTGGGCTCATAAGCAGACTTTACCTTACCTTACCGTACCTTTGGTATCAATTTTGGCCACCTAAACCCTCCTAGTGAAGCCAGTATATCAAGGCTTTAAATGTTGGCCTGACAAAATCAACTGGCCACATTCCAATGTAATTCTTCTTGTTTGCTTAGGTTTTTTTTGTTATTATTTAAATCTGAAATTTTCCTTTGTAGTCATGTTGTAGTTTAACTTTTTCTGTGGTTTGAAATTTTTTGAATATCATTTTCATTTTTCTTTGTCTGAGATTATGATAATGAATCTCACACAATGGAAAATAAGAATGAAACTGGTTTGAAAAATTTAAAGCCAAAGAAAAGTTTGAAACAAAACATAAATAATATGGTGTAATATATTAATACATTACATATAATTATGTTGTAGTTAATTTTTATTTCCAGTTAAATTTTATTTTCCGTTGTTTTTATGTATGGTAATGTATGATAATGAGTTTGAAACAAAGGAAAAATACAGTTTAACTGGAAATAAAAACTCAACATACACTTATATTTATCATTATGTGTATGTGTCCTGATTTTGTTTCAATGCTGAATTTTTTAAAGGTATTTTGTAAGAAGCCCCAACCAGCACGTTTCCCTTAGTGGTACAGTTCTGGACAAACACCTTCTGGAGATGGATGACACTCTGAAGGAAAACAGAAGAAAGTTGTTACTCAAACACTTTGTGCAAGGAAAGCCAAGAACTGATGTTCGAGTAACAACTGTGTATACAACTGAAGAAGACCGAATTCAGGGGGAGGACATAAATAATGCTACTAAATCAGAGATTCTCGAGAGAGCAGAGGAGAAAATTAATCTTGTTTCGGATGAAGACATCAAGGATGTGCTTCAAAATAAGATGAATGAACTTAAGAGGAAACAGTCCTCTTTAAAAAAAGAAGTCCTCCTCTCTTTCTTCTATGAAGTGTGTGAAGAACTCAATCAGGTTGTGGACAATGAACAGGAAATTTTATTTGTGGAAGATCAAGATAATGATACATTTAATTGAGCATGTAGTGGTAAAGTTTCTGTGAGTAATATGGTTACTGTGCACTTCAATAACAGTAACTATACTTTCTCGATTAAATGCAAGTTAGGCACCAAATTAGTATAGGCCCAGTGTAAATAATGTATATAACGAAGTCGGTGTATTCTTTTGGCTGACAGGCGGAGCTTGCAATCCATCTTCCTGATTGGGGAGAAGATGCATGGCAAGCAAAAAGAATGTGGGGCTACTGACAGGTCCAGTTTTAAATAAAGGCCATTTAACCATAAACAAGAAATAATTTGTAACCATTTTCAGTGTTTCCACACTTGGACTTTATTGGTCAATTTAAAAGTAATGTATCTTATTGACTGTGTGGCCTTGATTGAAATAGTTGTTTTGTGTTATTCACATTCCCTGAATTAGGCGCTAAAAACATTGAAAATAGTATTTTTTATTTGTAATTTTCAGCCAGGAGAAATTATGTTTAGTGCTATTTTCATTGAAGGTTCTATTGTTTTTAATCTCTTGTGTTATCAAACAAATTCTCCTCACTGATCTCCAAACATTTCCTCTAATAATTGATAATCTTTAATGTGTGTAAAGCAACTGATTAATCTATGTAAGTAGTTCATGTTAGCTGTTTTGCAATTTGTTACTGCAGTCGGATTGAAAGGCGTACAACACGACCAATGTACATGAAACGGTAACAGAACATTAAACATTTGAGTGTCTAGTCTTTTAGACCACCGTGATATCTATTCATGGACGTTGAGTGCCACGTTTTGATCCGAAATAAAGGTTATTTCAGTTTGCTCTGTGATAATTGTTGGTCTTTCATCAAAATGAAGTCTTGCTCGTGGTCTCCTCAGCAAAATCTCGCGCACTGGGGCTGGGACACTTTGTAGCTCTGGAATTCTTGTACCTTCTGTTGGTGTAATTTGATGATGATTAGTTGGAGTATGACCAAGCACGTTTGCAAGAGAAGGAGACATATTATTTCTGCGCTCTGGAGTCTCGGTCATAGCCTCAACTGCTGGTTCCCCATTGTGTCCGTCTATTTCCTCAGGACTAAGGAATTGCTGACCAACGATAGGTTTCAATTTTCCACTTTCATAATCTGTCTTGAGGCTTGGCGATCCCCACACAATCCGGTGTTGCTTAGACGGTTGGATGATTAAGAACACTTCTGCTTTGGTCATTACGTGAAGCTTGAAAGCGTTCTTAAATAATGTTGTCTTGCGGCGAGATAATGTCACCTTCCTTTGATCTGGATTGTCCACATAGCAAATCTTTTCCTTTCCCCTGATGTTTCTTTTGTTTTTGTTTGGAACACAATCACTGAAAGGAGAGTGACAAACAAGCTTAAGACGATCACTTCCTATTGAAGCTGAAAGTACCTCTCAGAAAGGTGCAGTTATATTAGTTACCTTGTATCTTTCTCGTATGCGCTTTGAGGTTCCTCCATTTATTTTGAACTTCGGACAATGTACAAAGAGGCTTTGATACTATGTCTTTTAATACTGTATTTTTTTTGGCGCACCCCGCGCGAAATCACAGCTGGTGACCCGTATGGCGCATGTGACTGGCTAATAACGCGAGAAATGGCAGTTTCTATTGTGCTAAACAAAGCATGTTCATCATCAATTTCCCGCGAAGGTTCCTTCTGTGAAACATTCCTGCCTTGTTCATTGGAAAGCGATTTCGTGAGAGCATTCAGAATGAGTAAAAGAGGTAAAGGTCACTTTTCTGATGTAATTTATGAAACTATAGTTCTTTCTGAATACCGTACCAATATCGAGCTTAATGTTGTACCGCCGGCGTTGCTTTTACTGACAAATGGTCGATACTTCTTCTTAATAGAAATGACAAGTACACACCGGTCAGTTCTTAGAATCACAGGTGGAAAAATTAAGGGGTAAGTGGTACAATCCCTTGTTATTTCATGTATATTCTATTTTACGGGTTGTGTTTGATGAATGCCCAGATTCATGGTGACGAACCATCATAACCATGTGCGCTTCCACAACACTAGATAAGCGTTTATAAAGCTTTCTCCTCAGCTCGCCTCGTTGTGTTTTATATTCCATAGCTACCACGAATTTAAAATAAAGGGACCAGAAGGCACTCCGGTGAATGTTTACCCTGAAAGTGGGAACGAAGATCCATTTGCGCTACGATGCGTTTTACCAGAAGTAGCTGATATGCCATCGACACTCCAAGATGTAGTAATGGTATCCACTAGCACTAAGAAGACATATACTTTAAGAGAAGTTGCGGGAAGGCAGATTGGCCGTGTTCAATACTTTCTTAACAGAGAAATCAAACATTTGCTGGATTGCGGCAAAATCAACAAAATTGAAGGGTATGTAACTGGAGCATTAGAGTACCGGAAATGCCATGATTACCAATGCAGCAACTTGAATTGTAATAATTAGCACAGCGTTCATATCATGAAGAACATATCAGTGGTAATATTTCCAATCTGAAATTAAGTGCGAGGGTTCGTCTTACATGAATTATTACTTTCTGTATATTTTTTGTCAGGATGATAACTGGGAAGCCAACAACAACAAAGAGGACACCGGTACATCAAAAGTGGGAAAAAAAATGTCAGGCACGGTGGTGGAGCCTTTATTCCTGTACTTGGAAAATCGAATGTAATGAAGAGTATATTGGAGAACTGGAGAGAAGGCTGTCGCTAGTTGTTTCAGAAATGGGAGAGGAAGGAGCAGATATGGTCGTGGAGGTACGTTGAGTGCGTGGTAGTCTGTTTCTTGTTCAACTTCCTATATGTAGCTTACATAATTGTTGCGAGAAGCTTCAGTCATTCAAAGCCAAGCCAGTATTCACAGGGCTTGGCGCTGCAAACTTATGCGCTACAATTTCAGCCTCCCAATAATTTCCCCTCAGGGACCAGAGTTGTTTTTTTAGCTAAGAACGATTTACAAGTAAGGTAGCAACACTTCAGGAAATAAACTCTGTCAAATATTACTTTTTAACAGATTGTTGGACCCGTATTAGAGACATGTACAAGCGCTGAAAACCTGGAAGCTTCGCCGTCCACCAAGAAAGCAAGACACTGACAAAGACTGAAAATGATTTAGATTAAGAATGATTTTGTTTTAAAATGATTAAATAAAAACCGTTTGCTAGAGAATATTCCTTACTACTTTCATTGTTTCATTGTATCATGTCATATTCGCTGGGTGCTTGTGTGAAGAAGAACCGGAGCCCGGAAATAAGTGAAAAAACTAGCAAAGGAGCTCTGAAGAAATAAACGGAAAATAATTTTTAATTCCAAATTTCATAGTAGTCCGAATTTGTTCCTCTTTATTCGAACAATTTAAAATGTACAATCACAAATTAAATGGTCTGGTTAGGCCTCAGGACGCCATATTGAATTAAAAATTGTTTCCTCGATAGCGTGTCACGTGAACTTGAATCTGTGCAGCGATTGGCTATTGGTTTGTTTTGGTCTGGGTTATCAAATTTGATAACTATCCCGGACTGGCAGAGATCAATCTGAAATCTACAACTAGCAACGGATTCAACTTTTGAATAATAAATTCATTAATGCATTCTTGGGGGGTACGCTTGACCTGGTTTGACTGTAAGTAGAATTAGCTAGGTGTATAGTGAAGCATCGGTTTTTACCATATATCCTTACTAGAGAGGTTAGATTCTCTTCCAATGTCGTTATATCAGTTTGTACTTTTATGCCGCACTGTGACGTCTCAAACAATTTTTTGCCGGAAAATATTTCTAAACTATTTCTTGAACGTAGGTTCACAAGTGCTTAGCTACAATACTAGGTTTTCAGAGCCTTGTAGTCTTTATTAAAATAGAAATTCCAGGGCATTATGCAAGATTAAGGTTAAAAAAAAAAACACTGCAAAACCCGTGTACGATCAATCTTGCTCAACGTCGGATCCAAAAAGATCGTGATCAGTCAAAATAGATCAAATTGAAAACGCTACAGTCAAGAAGACTTTTGCAGGGACTGATCAAACAACGTGAAACAGAGTTTAGTTGCGATATTTCGACTGGCCAATACCAGTCTTCCTCAGGTTTATTGAGATATCAAGAATTTACAAAAATAAATATGAAGTAAAATAATGACCGGAAATTACTTATAATATGACGTGCTATGGTGTGGCTATACCACGTCATATTATATGTAATTCCCGGTCATTATTTTACTAGATCTATATATCTTCCTTTTCCTTTCTCTTTCTTGATTTCTTCCCAGTAAATTACTTTATGTTTTTTGGCTGCCCGCCCCCATTAACCAAGCTATATGTAAGCAAAGGATGTCAACATGTATGTTTGAATTTAATTTAATTGGTAACTTCCATGGACATCAATAAATTTCCATGAATTTCTTCTATAAACTATAGTTATAGAGCCGATATGACTCGTATTTTTCCGTTATCGCTAAAATCGTATCGGATCAGGAAAATAACCACACAGGGAGCAAGAACGCACCATGTGAATATATATAAAAAGTAGTCCTTCATTTCAAGGTCATTTTGAGATTACACAGTAAATGTAACACGGCTCTTGCCTCGACTTAGTCTCTGGCCGCCATGCAAAAAAAAAACTTGACCAATATTCTCTCTCAACCTCAACTTGGACAATAACGCATGTACGTGCTACGCTGCACATTTATCACTTGAAATAATTTACTCTCTGTCATTACCCGTTTCAGTGCCTGTACTTATTTTCTTTGACCTCTTATGAAACGTAAAGCTCTTCATTACGGCTAAGTAAGGGTTTTAGGTTGTTTGATTTTCTCCAAAGTGCCTCCTGGATCTGACTATAAGCGATTTTCCTTTTGTCCGTGAATGGTTTCCTGCAAAGTTTTGTCACGCTGTGCCCAGCTCATTGATGTTTTTAGCAGGATGTTAAATTCTCACAGATAGTGATTTACGTGTGATTTACAGATCCAAATTTCGAAGAATGGATGGCAGCTTAGTCTGAAGCTACAATTGCGTTGTGACCCAGTCATGGTTTCTGTTTATGTAATTATTTTTGAACTCCAGCCTGTTTTTCTGAAAGAAAGTGAGTCGTTGGGACTGGACCTCAGGGTTTGGAAACGGGGGGCGGGGCGGTGGGGTCGTGATCCCGCATTCCCACTACTTTTTCACGTTAACCTCGTATCCCCCACTTGCTCTTCATTGCTTTCCCGAATCCCGTTTTTTGTTTCCAAAAATAAGTTAAAAAAGACTAATTTAGCTACAAAAGCTAACAAATTTAAGAGTTAGATTGGCCCGTGCGATGCCCGGGCCATTCCATAAAATATATCGCTTTTTATATCTCAATACGACGAAAGAGCACCCTATAACCAAAGTGATAGGTCGTTTTGCTCGAGTGCCTACTGACATCAAGTAGTTACTATCGAATAGCTAGCATCCTGTTTCCATGGATAACTGTGTGTCTGTGTCAAACTCATATTGACAAACAACTTGTGTTCTCATGCGAAAAGTATCTTAGGCCTCTATTGTTTATGAGTTTTAAAACACTATAGAGCCAACCATGCATCCATACAAAATACAAACTAAATTAGCTAAAGTTAACTCCTTTAAGTTCTCCTTCTTTGTGAGAATCGTCAAAGACGGAAACAGTTTGCCAAAGCATCTCTTCACTGACGAAATTAACTTTACAAATTTAAAAAAGGCTTAAAAAGATGGATGAAGATTTATTGACACAGTAGCTCATATTTTAATTGTATTATATTTTCATTTTAAATATCATTCTTACTATACCATTTTGTACCTGCACTAATGATTTTTACGCGCGTTTTTAGTAATTTTTTAATATTTTTAAAGTTCAGTTAGGGGACCTTTTATAGGGATAATATCGCGCTCCACCTTTTCAAATATGTATCGTGTATAATGTTTATATGCATATATGTATTTGACAAGGTTTTAAACTGCTTCTGGAATCTTTACAGCTCTTTGTGTTCGTTCTGTGGCGGAATAGAAAAGTGTCTCTTTGTGGATCGCTGCGTTACTTCTGGTGCTAGCCTGTTTCAAGTGTTCAGACAGTGGAGAGTGGCGCAAAATAGAGCGGAGGGGAAAAAAGCGAAAGAAAGGAATTGGGAGAGAGGAGGGTTTCTTTCCCTTCTCGCCCTGTCCCCAACGCTTTTTTTCTGCTGCTTTTCTTTGCACCGTCCCCACTAACCGGACTCCTGGAATAGGCTCTTCTGTCGCTAGCATACTCGGCTCAGGCCTTAAAAAGTAGCCTCTCAGGCAGACGTTCTTAGGGGTACGTCATGCGTTCCTGCCCCATCCACTAACAGCGTCTTGCGTGGGAGGCTATAAAAATGAACGACAACAAAACTATGTATACCTACGATTAGGCGTTTTTTTTTTAGAATAGAAGGGAAATTGATATGCTATTGTACCACGTGCACTTTCCTGGCATCTGGTTGAAACAGTTGGTCTTCTGTCCGCTTGTCTGTTCACTAACTGACCATTTCAGTTAGACAATCATTAACCAGATCACTTAGTGCATAGTTTGCTTAGTTGATAGGAGAAACAACTGCTCTCGCCTTGATGAATCGCATTTGCCGCTAGAACGAATAGTTGAGTCGTCATGATTTCCCAAATTCCCGACAGAGAATTAAAAATATCCCGCATCCCTTGCATAGATTTTGATTAATCCAACCTCGATCCCAGGTTCTCTCTTAGAATACATGGAACGAAGTTGTGATGAATCCCGCTTCCCGGGTAATATTCAAATCCCGTTTCCCGCCTAGATATTTTGCGTTTTCCCGAATCCTGCATCGTATTTTGGTCACTTCCCGCATCCCGAAAATACTTTTCCAGACCCTGTTGCCTTGTTAATAACTTTTGAATTAGCTTAACAGTCTTACGACTGTTCTGCCATCGTCACTTTGTGATCAGGCAAGTGTGGACCCCCCCCCCAATAAAAAATTCCTGCCCCTGAAAGGCGATGAAAAGTTCTAAAATAGGTATGTGCAAGGGGTACCATTTGTCAATGAAAGGTATACGAAAGCCTCCCCGTATAAATTTTTTTTCAGTACCCCCCGCTCCCCGGGTATGCGCGCGCCTTACGGAATGTTATGAGCAGTGAGCTATATATTGGGCTTGAACTTCTCAAATTTGCCCAAAAGTCGACAGCTATTTTCCTAACTCAGTTGAAAATGCAGTCAGAGAAAGCAAGCGACGTTACTCTGGTACTAAAAGATGGCAAAGAGATTAGGGTGAATGGGAACGAACTTTCAGCAGCGAGTGATTTCTTTTTCACGCTTCAAAACACCGACATGAAGGAGAGAAGGGAAGGAATTATTCGCTTACAACATATTAGCGAGAATGTTATGAGAGATGTGCTGGAATTTAGTCGCTCTGGGACTGTACTCATAACGTATAAGAACGCTCAACATGCTCTAGATCTTTTCGAGGCAGCAGATTATTTTCTTATTCCAGGCTTGAAAAGGGTGGCTGTGGGATCCTTAAGACGGATATTACAACCTTCAAACTGCATTTCAATTTATTATTTTGCGAAAAGATATCCATGCAAGGAAGTGACACCTCTTGCGGTCACCGCAAGAGAGTATATCTTTGCAAACTTTGCCGATGTGGCTGAATCTCAAGAGTTTCTACAACTGGAAAGCACAGAAGTAGAGGAGTGGATTTGCTGTGATGAAATAGTTGTGAGCTCAGAAGAAGTTGTCTTCAGGATCATTCTCAACTGGATTGAACAAGAAAAGAGTGAGAGAAGAGGAAAATTCTTGGAGTTATTTCGTCACGTGAGACTGTCCTTTATATCGATAGCCAATCTAAACAAATATTTCATAACTAACCATTTCGTGAAAGTGAACTCATGCTGTTTAAAGCGCGTTGAAGACGCTTTGAAAGGGATTTTTCCTGTAAGCGATGATCGTCAGCAGTCTCCTAGAAACTGGAGCGATTCACATCTGGCCATATGCAACGGAGAAGAGACCTTGTGTTATGACCCAGTAAAAGAAAAATGGTACCAGCTGCCTGATATGTTAAGCCCAAACCACTGGTACTCGTCAACCTGCCCAACAATATTTCTAATGACTTCCTTTCAAGGACAACTATTTGTTTTATTTCCGGGCCATAAAATTTATAATTATGATTCTTCCTCAAATCGTTGGATACCAAGACCGACAATTGCAGACATGCCACAGGCCGCGAATAAAGTCGTCGTTGTGGGGAAAGATATCTTCATTTTTCACACGGTCCAATGTTATAATTATAATTATTTCATTTCTAAATACGACCCTTCATCAAATGTGTGGAATGTTGTCTCCTCAGGAGAGGAAACTGCTTTTATAAACTATGGAGCCTGTGCTGTGTCCATGGGTGACTTCCTTTACGTTCTTGGCGGACTGAACAAACGCCAAGCTAAAAGATTTGACACCGTGGAAAACAAATGGGAGAGAATCGCAGATATGAACGAGGAGAAAACTAGAGGTTGTGGTGCGGCAGCACATGGAAAGATCTTCGTTGCTGGTGGAGCTGTGGTAAGCTGTGAAATGTACGATGTATCATCTGATCAATGGCAAAACGTGGCACTGAGTTCGAATACTCGTCGCTTCCGAGTAATAAGTATGATGTGTTTAAATGGACGACTGTACATTGTTAAAAGTGGAGTCTCGTTCCGCTCCAGGCCATTCGCAGCAGTTGAAAGCTTTGACATTAAGACCAAAAAATGGAAGAAAAAATCCAAAATTTCAATTCCTTTTCCTGTTTTTCTAAACGAGCCCTCTCAATTTTTTAAGGCTTGCTCGATTTACATTTCTAGAGATCGACTCAGACGCCTTTAACCATATCCCCATCCTTGTTTGATCTTGAGAGAAATGGAGCTGTGTTTTCCAAGCTTATAACAAACAGGGCGCCTACAAAAGCTGTTTGTGTAACGATTGTACAGTAATTTTATAGTAAATGTACCGGATGGGTTTACGAAAACTACAGGATCGTAACATGGTATATGGGCTCGGGGCTCAAAGCCCAAAATATGACTGGGATCAGGGTTCAGAGGAAAGGGCTCAGGGCTCAGAAGAATGGGATCAGGGATCACAAGGCTTTTGAGCCTGAATCAGGGATCAGATTTATTACACGGTCTAAAAATATCTTATTACAATATTTTTCGAATTTCCTGGCCGAGGTACATTACCTATTCTTGTTTCCGGCTGGCGGCAGTCCCTGTCATACGAAGAACTGGTTGTTTGATGAAAACATCATGGTATCATACTCTTAATTTATTAATTGTTGAGGGCACCGTAATATGAATCCCAAGTCACTTTTCTCGCCTTGTAACGCAACTCCTCAACGCGCTGTCAACGCCAGAAGGCAGAGAAAGCGATTTATACATATCTTTTTTTGGCGAGAAATGGGGAAGAAAAAAAAAGGACAAAAAGCCTGTGACAGAGAAAGGTACGTAAGTACTTCCTTGACTGATTTACTCCTGGCAAGGGTTTTTTGGTCGATCAAACATAACAATACCGCCAGGACCATAGACAAACCGATTCATTCAAAGCGGAATTTACTGTATAGGTCCCGACTGCCTCATCGACTCAAGCAAGTCACAAGGCGACTATAAATCGAGGTTCGTATTTTTGACCAGTAACTTAACTCTTAAAAGTACTTAAATAATTAGAATGGACGTCAAAAGTAGAATACAAAAGTCCAACGAATTTGCGCGCTTTGTTGCAAAATAAATGCTTTCTCGCAATTTAATAAATCTGCTCTAATTGCATGGAGTTTTAGGGTTATCGCGAACTCCGATGAGAAACCGAGATCGGTTCACCTACTAGTACTAGTATTGGGTCGGGAAAGTAAAGAACACATTCCTTTACTGTATAACCGATAAATGGTTGTATGATAAATAGTCTGAAATTATAGTCAGTGTAGAATTAGTGAACACCCGTTCTGAACGACTACGCATCGCAACGGCTCAGCTGCCTTTTAGAATCAATAGAGAGGCTCTACCAATACTCGTTTATCTTTTATACCGGTCGTCAAAGCCATTACACACAGAGAAAGCTGGGTTCAAAGACACCGGAATGGCTTCGAAAGTCGCACGGCAAGAGTAAACCTTAAGGAGGATATGGACGAGGAAACGAGCGCGGAGGGAAAGGAGCCATAAAGGAAGGCATTGAATAACTTTGCGAAAGAATTCGGACGGTATACGCAGGCGGTGTGCGCACTACGACTGCGATGCATTGTGGATTCAAAATTTTCAAGATGGCGGCGAAGGTCGAGAAATTTCGCAGGTTATATGCTTTATTTTTCAATAGATACAGTTCTTTCCTTCGATAGTTTTTCTCGATTTCACAAGCTAATATTTGTTTACATTTTTTCTGTGAAGAAAAACAAATCAATATTCTTCATTTCAATCTAAAACGTGGAGCCCGAAGATTCCTCCATTTAAGAGCATGAAATTTGAACCCGGTTTTTAAGAGGCTATAATTTCCATTATATTGCCCGTCGAAAGTAGAGCATAGTTGTAAGTGTTTCTACAAACCTTGTTCTACGCTAATTTTTTATCGCTCCCCAACGCGCCCCACGTTTTGTGATACTTTTTCCGAATTGAAACCGGCATGTTTTCATGGGAAAATGTAGCCTCGCGAAGACCAATGTGACATGTTACGAAGTGTTACTGTTGTAACCACAAGCTGATCACAAAATAGCGGGGCAGCGGCGACTGGTTCCTCCAAACAATAGCATTAGGTGAGCATAAAATGTTCGAAACTGATATATAAATAGGCTGATGAGTACTCTGATGTAGGAATGTCTGTTTTTGTAATAGGACTAAAAAAGCATAATAAAATTGCAGTCATACATGTGACTCTCTTGATGCAGGTATAAAATCAGTAGGATTAGAATCACAGGTATTAAATTAAAAGATAAGTTTGATTATACAGTTAAGCCCTGTGCATTTTGAAACTAGCAATCTACTTCCAAGATTGGTGTGTGTTGTTGTGTGGATGTTATGACTTTGTCAGTTTCTTGCCTAGTCCCTGTTTTATTCAGTGGTGATTAGCCTCCGTAGCAGGCATTTAAAAGGAAAGGGAGAGGGGTTTTGGGCACAAGAGAAATGCGAAGAGTGCACGAGGAAGGAGGGAGTGATTTCAACATTCACCTGGTTGATGTTTATAATGCAAAAAACAATTAGCCTCCTGTATGGCAGGCATTTCCCTCCCTCCTTCCATCACATTTCTCTTGCACCAAGACCCACTTTCCCTTTTCTTTGAAGTGCCTGCCACACAGGCTAAGTGATGTCATTCAATCTGTTTACCCGTTTACACTGTTTAATATATATCAAACAATTTGCATATTTTGGTGGCTTTAGTTAAAATATAAATTGCTTGATCATTGAATGTACTTTTGATATTGGAAAACCAAGGCTGAAAAAATGGTGGCAGGGAAAGGAAATAGAAAAAGTGGAAGAATGGGGCAGTAAAATCATGAGACTAAGAACCTGAATTAACTAAGTAAGCCCAAACAGATTCTTATATAAATAGTAGTTAGCACAAGTTTAGGCTATTTAGGTTTTTAAATGGGTTCATATTTTCTGAAGTAAAAATGTAGCTAAGAGTATTTGCGTTTCACCTTATTCCTCCTACAAAGTCTGCATACCAAATTAGAAGTTATGTGAGAATGGACATAAAAAGAGGAATGTATTTAAATTTAAACATTGGCATTTACATTGCAGTTGGAGTGATAAGACAGCTTTGTTTCCATAGAAGATTCTAAATGTTGATTTATCTCTGCTCAAGTGTACAGAATTTTTTCATGGATTTCAAAAATAAGAACCTGTTTCAAATTTTAGGCTAAACAGGTTTTTATATAGAGGGGGCTCATCTGGTATAATTTTATTTTAGCTGAACAGGTTCTTGAAATTCAGGTTCTAAGTCGGGGGGTTTTACTGTACCACTAGGATCCACCTCTGCAATAACTGGTAACCCAAAAGCCCTCTTTACGGACAACCGCTTCATACAGACACCTGATCAAGGCTGTGCTCTAGCAGAGCCCTGTGGCCCCTGGCACCTAACTTTTGCTTTTGGGTAACTAGAAAATCTCAGACTTTTCATACAAATCATATGCTGGGCAGCCTAGATTTTACAGGTTCAGAGAACTAGGCTCCTTTCAATGTTCCTTAGAGCACAGCCTTGCTCATCATTACAGATAGCTTGCTTTGTTCCCTGGAAAAAAGCCCTTAAATTTTCTCTAAATTAAGATGGTTAATTTCTACGGTCCCCTCAGTGTCTGTATAACAGAGTTGACTGTGAGTATGATGAGACCTATGACACCATATTTAAATTATAAAATTGGGGTGAGGAGAAAGGAAAGGGGTCTCAAGCTATGTTGCCCCAGCCCTGATTACAGGAGATTTGTAAACATGTATGAATTTCACATTTTGAAGAGTTTTTATAATCCAAAAAAATATGTGATAACATGTGTTTGTACATACTGACACAATCATTAAACAAATATTGGCTCCAGCTTTTAAAATCTATTGACTGCATCAGGCTTTGTAATCACAAATATGCCATTTTCAGTTTCAATCCAGTTATAAGACATTCTATGACTCATACCAATAGAAAAATATGGCAAATAAAGATGCTCAATATTATACTATCTATAAAGAGGACACAAGTTCACTGTACACAAATACTCTCTACTTTATTTACTTGTCTTCATGTGATGATAAATACAGATGTTAAGCAAAACGAAATGCAGACTTGGTGCCAACAGAGAAACAAGTGCTCGAAACAATGACCCCCTCAACTTCGATTCTCTTATTACAGCTAGCAAGTGAACATCTTGCAATGCTGAATGACAAAACAAAATAAGCTCACTGTGTTTAAATACCGTTGCCGGGTATTCTGAAGAAGCTCCTAGTATTTTATGAGTATATCACAGCTATGCACATCAGTACCTCTTAGCACTAGTAGCACTGATTTCACGGTGAATTCAAAAATGTTCGGCGAACCGCGGGTCTTACCTCCAGTGCTTTTCATGATTGAAGCATTGAACATAGCGTTTCTGTGCCGACTTTTCTCGGTCAGTTGCAAACAGGATACAAGTGATTACGAACAAAATACACCAGAATACACTTATCAACGGAATGAGACTGTTTTTTCCCTGAGAATTGGACAGACTTTCTTTTTCAAGGGCTTCCGGAGGACATTCAAAGCAAAATCGTATATATCTACAGCGTAATTAACGAATATTCACTCCGCAGTCGTGATGTTCACTCCACGCCATCTTGAGACAAATGATCAGATTTTGAATACCGCCCATGATGCTTAGCGATCGTAGTGCGCACGCCTGGGGTATACGAAAGTCTAGAAGCTTGGTTGCCCTTAATCAAGAAACACAGCAACAGGAGATCCTAAGGACAGCAGCGCACCAGTGAGGCATAAGCTCATACAAACAACGGGGTAAGAAATACACCAATCTCAACGGCTAATAATCGGCCAACCAGAACCAGAGCTTGGAGTCATATAAGTTCACG